TCTATATTTAATACTATTCAGATCAGCTTAATCTCACTGACATGCTATCTAGACAGTCTGATTATAATATTATTAATATAGAGAAGAATTTTATAAAAGAATCTCTGTCATCACTACAGAAGAAGCTGGCTGCAGAGAATTGAAGTTCTTTAAAGCTCAGAAACAGCACTGGTAAGACAGCTGCATAATCTAATATAGAAGATGAAAGAAAACTCAGATCTCTGTAGAGAACTGACACTGAAAATCATAAGCTTCTTGTATCATATCTTACTATCATTGAATTAACAAAGAATGAAACAGTCTACAATCTTTCAATCTGACTACTTTTGAAATTCATTGATAAATTACAGAAGAGAGACATCTCTACTACAGCTTAAATTTAGAAGTTGAAGAAGAAAGAATCTGATTTGAACTTGAAAGAGACAGATTCTGAGTAAGACAGTACTGCTAAGAAATCAAGTTACTGATAACTAGAAGAATGTGAACTTCTACTACTGAATGATTCAGTCTTCATCTCTTATAGTAGAGTGATGTATCAGAAGTTATTGAGAATTCATCATAATAATCTTTATATAAGACACTTTGAATTAGAGAAGACTGAGAAGCTTCTAAAATATAAATATATTTAGAACAAGCTCTGAATAGATATCAAAGAGTATATTAAAACTTACAATATCTGTTAAAGAATAAAGATTCTGTGATATAAGTAATACAGTAAGTTGATATCACTGCCTGTTTCAAAGAGCTTATAACAGAATCTATTAATGAATTTCATAGTTAATCTGCTGAAGTTAACAAGAGTCAAAGAATATGACTCAATTTTAATCATTATCAATCATTTTATAAAGATAATAAAATATATCTCTACTTATAAAAAGATTAAAGCCTCTGAATTAACTGATCTATTTTTAGATATTATCATTCATGATCACAGTACTTCAAAGTCATTGATAACAGATTAAGAATCTCTCTTCATCAGTAAATACTGATCAGTCTTTTATTATTATCTTATAATAAGACATCTTCTCAGTATCACATTTCATCTACAGATAGATAGTCAGACTGAACATCAGAATCAGACATTAAAATAGCATCTTCAAGTGTTCTATTTATATTATTAGAATGATTAACTCAAACATCTTCTAACTACTGAATTCATATATAATAATGCAAAGAATATAATCTTAAAAGTATTTTTTTTCTATACTTATTATAAATATAATTCTTCATTACTCAGTGATATTGTGAATGATATTTCAAAGAAGAGAATAGACAGTCAGAATGTTAAACAGATACAGAGAACAGAGTATCTCTCAGTATCAGAAGTAAAAGTGAGATTGAAACTTTTAAATAAAATTTATAAGAAGATGATGAAAAGTATTCACTGTGCTCAGAAGTAGCAGATAAAATACTATAATTAAAAACATCTTTCAATGAAGTTCTTGATAGAGAATTAAGTACTACTTTCAGCAAAGAATATCAAGATAATAAGACTGTATAAGAAGCTTAGTGAGTGATAACTAGAATCTTTTCTAATAATAAAAGTGATGAGTAAGCAGATATATGAGTTGAAATTATTCTCAGAATTGAAATCAATTCATTCTATTTTTCATATTTTCTATTTGAAGCTCTATAAGCAATGTCTTGAGACAGAGTTATCTTAACTAAATAATATCAAGATTGAGAGTGATACTGAATATCTTATGAAGAAAATATTGAATAAGTGAATATATTACAGTAAGCTTCAATATCTTATTAAATGAGAAGATTATTCATTATCAGAGAATTTATAAGAACTGCTTAAGCATTTGAAAAATACTGAGAAAGAGATTGTAAGCTATGAGATAGCTAGTAGAGACTACTTTATTACATATCAGAGATGTTGAGTAAGAAATACTGCTTGAGACTTCTCATTTTTCTTAAAGAGTTTTTTAGAGATAATTTTATAATAATGAGCTGATATCTTATGAACTCTGTAGCACTCTTCTTTTATTTTCTCTCAAAGAGTTTTTAGAAGTTTAATGAGACTACACAAGTATAAAATTCCTGAAGCAGTTAATAAGAAAAGAAAGAGATATTTGAAATTAATAAAGATTAATATTATCAATTCACAGACTACTGCTATTCTAATAGAGCTACAGCTCACTGAAAAAGTAAAAAGAGAGAATCAGAGTCTACTCATCAATAATCATATCTTTATTAAACTCATTCTTCACTGTTGAAGTCTCTGACACTGATATCTTTGTCTGTTAAGAAGTTAGCACTATGATATCACAGAGAAGTATACTACAGAAGAGTATAAAAGATGCTGAAAGTATTAATTTATTAACTTATAAAATATCTCAGTTATCTGTTTTAACTAGAGTGAGATTCTCTTCAATCAGTGATTAATCTCTGTGATACTTTCAATGATAGTGTTAACTGACTTCTTCTTAGAGTCAGTTATTCTGAGGTGTTTTTTCATCTCAAAGATTCACACTTTCATCTTCTTTTATAGATGAGTAAGAGAGATCTTCTCAGTCTTGATAAAATTCATCAATGCTTAGAGCTCTAAGATTCTTACTCTGTACTGCTTGAATATCTGAGCTTCTTGTTAGAACTGATATAACATCTTCTCATAGAGTAGATAGTACTTACAGAGAGACAGAAGTTATTATTACAGATATAATAGAAATAATAAAAGTGAGAGAAGAGACAGATATACAAGATTCTTTCCTTCTTCAGCTGCTTAGCACAGTGCAGACATGTAATAATACTGATCAGAGACTGTATCAGAGCCTTCTCACAGAGAGAAGATAAAGAAACTGCAGAACTCTGTGAACTCAACTCAGCAGTATTCTGAGCAGGGCTTGAGTGTGTCATAGAAGAGAAACTATGAATTAAGCTTCTCAGAGCTGCTGTTTCTGAAATAAAGCTCTCTTCAGAGTTCTCTCTGAATGATCACATAGAGTCATACATCACTGTGTTGATTGAGAGAAGAGACAGCATCACAATAACAGTGAGAAGAATAGAGAATGAATCAGATGCAGATAAACTGACTGATAGAAGAGATGATATCTCACTGCAAGACATAGCTACTATCATCACAGCTGTAAGAGATACAGAAGAAGAAGAAGATATGACAATAAGAGCAGTGCTCTCACAGCTTATTAATACTGCTGTCTCTGTCTTCAACTGAGCTTTCTTAACAGTCACAGAGATCACAGCTGCACTATGAAGATATTTACTTACTAGAAAATGTCAGAATAAGCTCTTTATTATCTTCTAAGAATGATACTCTCATGCACTCACTGTTGCAATTGAGAAAAGAGAAAGAAAAATATGTTATAAGAGAGAGAGATCTTTTTAAAAAATTCTATCACTACTATTAACTTTGTCTCTAAAATACATCACTTTTATAGAGAATTTTATATGAAGAATAGAATATGATAAGAGATCTGTAAGTCACTTATTAACTATGTTTTTCACATTTCAAATTAATATATAAGAAACTCACTTATTATATGTTTAATTTAAATGAAGATGAAAAAAGAAAGATCTACACAGTCAGCAGAAAAACTTATCTATTTCTTTGTATTATATATAGTATATGTGCTATTAATCAGTTAATAACTATTACTATATAATAAAGATAACTTCTAATTCAGTAATCTTAAGAGCATCAGAACTATGCTTTTAAAGAGAAGAATATTATTATACTCTCAGTTATATCAAGACTCTGTTACAGTTTCACATAACTTATTACTTTCATGTGAATAATTTCATTCTATCTGAATCAGTTTTCAATTACTCTATAATATTATTCAGATATATTATAGAAAGATCTGATTAATAAATATAAGAATCTCACTTCTATATAAGATCAGCAGATTACTCTTTCTTAATAGTAAGATACTACTGAGATATCACTTCAGCTATTCTTACTCATGAAATGAGAGAAGAGTATTCACTTATTATCTATATAGAATAGCTAGATGCTGACTTCTTATTAAGAAGTCAGTGATTCATTTTTTCTTCTATTGAAATATATACAAGAGTTACTGCATTTCTCATACAATCTTCTTAGTATACTAAGTATTATATCTGTGATATTCTCACAATAACTCTGTAGTCTATAAGCTTGCTATTCAAGCAAGATAGTTAAGCTCACTTATACAGCTTCTCAATAACTATCTCTACATAACACCGCTGACTAGCCACTACTTCAGTTCCGTCACATTACAGTTTAATAGAGATTTTAAAGCTTTTTTATATCATATAGTTGAGAACTTTATAAGAGAAAAAGATATAAAAGAATATTTCAGATCTACTTATATAAAATAATATTATAATAATTAGAAAGATTCAGATCATAATTCATTATAATATAAATTTAGAAGTGAAAGTAGTATAAGATCTATTCTTATCACTATAAATAGTGAATAAAGATGATTTGAATTTCTGCAATTTTATCTGTTATAATGAACTTTTTAACTTATCTCTTATAATTTGAAATATACTCTTATCAATATTCATATGAAGTAACTGTTCCCTTGTCAATCAATTGAAGTATTTATCAAATTGAGATATTAAACTGCTTTGAATTGAAGATGAAACAGTGAATTCAATGAAAGATTCAATGATGAATTTAATAAAAGATTTCAACAGTGTATTTAATGTAGACTGACTGCTAAGATTATGAATTTCATATTTAATCTTATTTAATCTGATCTCATACATTTCTTAGCATGAATTCTGCTAAGACTAGCTATTAAAAAAACATGCAAAGTGACTATATATCAGATCTTAAAATGAAATCATAACTTGAAAAAAATGAGAAAGTGATCTCATTTAATCTCATTTAGTTTCATTCTTGGCATAAAGTTACTATTTTTAGACATTTTAAGGTTTTTTTTAGACTATTTTTAATTTTTTAAAAAGTAACACTTTTTGATAACACTTAAATAAGATTTAAAGTCATTTAAAGCAATAAAAATAATTTAAATTGAGAAGTAGAAATCATGATCTCATTTGAAAAATGTGATAAGAGTAGACAGTAAGTTTCACTGAGACTGTATGAGACTACTATCTAATGTTAAAACTGTGTAATGGGATCAGTCGAATTGGTAATGAGACTATCAAAAAATCTGGTCCTGGTCCCAGACACGGTCACACGGTCAGTCTAATTCGATGGAAGATTCAACGGCGGATTCGATGGAAGATTTCAACAGTGTATTCGATGGAAGATTTCAACAGTGGATTCGATGGAAGATTCAACAGCGGATTCGATGGAAGATTTCAACAGTGTATTCAATGGAAGATTTCAACAGTGTATTCGATGGAAGATTCAACGGTGGATTCGATGGAAGATTTCAACAGTGTATTCGATGGAAGATTCAACGGCGGATTCGATGGAAGATTCAACAGCGGATTCGATGGAAGATTTCAACAGTGTATTCGATGGAAGATTTCAACAGTGTATTTGATGAAAGATTCAACGGTGGATTCGATGGAAGATTTCAACAGTGTATTCAATGAAAGATTCAATGATGAATTTGATGAAAGATTTCAACAGTGTATTCAATGGAAGATTTCAACAGTGGATTCGATGGAAGATTTCAACAGTGGATTCGATGGAAGATTCAACAGCGGATTCGATGGAAGATTCAACAGCGGATTCGATGGAAGATTTCAACAGTGTATTCGATGGAAGATTTCAACAGTGTATTTGATGAAAGATTCAACGGTGGATTCAATGGAAGATTTCAACAGTGTATTCAATGAAAGATTCAATGATGAATTTGATGAAAGATTTCAACAGTGTATTCGATGGAAGATTCAACGGTGGATTCGATGGAAGATTTCAACAGTGTATTCGATGGAAGATTCAACGGCGGATTCGATGGAAGATTCAACAGCGGATTCGATGGAAGATTTCAACAGTGTATTCGATGGAAGATTTCAACAGTGTATTTGATGAAAGATTCAACGGTGGATTCGATGGAAGATTTCAACAGTGTATTCAATGAAAGATTCAATGATGAATTTGATGAAAGATTTCAACAGTGTATTCAATGGAAGATTTCAACAGTGGATTCGATGGAAGATTCAACAGCGGATTCGATGGAAGATTTCAACAGTGTATTTGATGGAAGATTTCAACAGTGTATTCAATGAAAGATTCAACGGTGAATTCGATGAAAGATTTCAACAGTGTATTCAATGGAAGATTTCAACAGTGTATTTGATGAAAGATTCAACGGTGGATTCGATGGAAGATTTCAACAGTGTATTCAATGAAAGATTCAATGATGAATTTGATGAAAGATTTCAACAGTGTATTCAATGGAAGATTTCAACAGTGTATTTGATGAAAGATTCAACGGTGGATTCGATGGAAGATTTCAACAGTGTATTCAATGAAAGATTCAATGATGAATTTGATAAAAGATTCAACAGCAGATCTAGATGTGAATAATAATGAGATTATGAATTCAGTTCTTCTATTTCTTTCATCATATATTTCATCATCATCACATTGATTATCTCACTTGAGAATGTCATATTGAATGAAGTTGAAGCTGTCAGAGCTGAAGAAGAGAATATAATCACTGACATTTGAGAGATCTGTATAGAAGAATTGATTGTAGAAATTATAAATTTATTCTTCTAATTCTTCTTCTTCTTTCTACTTATTAATCATTTTATCATCTCTCTTATTCTTTATCTCATTGATAATCACCTGTTCATACAATCTGTATGAGATATCAGATTCAGAGGTAGAGATTCACAGATATAGAATTCTCAGACTGAGTCTCTATATTCTTCTCATTCATCTGCTTCTCCATCTCATCATTGACCAGATCCTCTCCATTATCCGGAACTTCTGGAACAGGTAGTTTGAGGAGACTGAGGTGCAGAGTAGAAGTCTTTGTACAGGCTTGCAAAGCAGCAGGACAGCAGGTTGTTGTAACTTGTAAGACATATTGAAAAAAGAATTGATTGATATATGTGGATTTGATGATAAAGGTAAGAAAGACGCATATTTGAATGATATTTGATTGAAAAAGATGCATATTGGATGATATTGAATGATTCTAGAGAAACATGGATATTTTGATTTTTTGGTGGTGTTTTGCTACTAATTTTCAGGGGGCGCTGGGAAAATTCTGTTTTCGCAAGTAATATGTCCGCCACAATATGTCCGCCACAATAGTTCACCTGACGCCGCGTATGCCGGCTCGAGCCTCCACCCGTCGTTGACGACTTCATCTCGACTTTATCTCGACTTCATCTCAACCTCCATCTCAACCTCCCCTTAACACCATCTTAAGCTCAACCTCTCCCACCGCTTCATCTCTTCATCTTCCCATCCCGTCCATCCCGTTCAACCCCTATTCCAATCTGTCACTGTTGACCGCTGGCATTTGCTTTTATCTCCCCCATTCCTGCCCGCTTCCCCACCTTTCATTCCTGCTGGATTCCCCTCCGGCCCTTCTACCGTCTCTGTCACCAACACATACACTTGCAATTACAACCACGGAACGGACTACCCACTACCCATTCCTTTCGTATCAGGTTTTTCAGAACAGTATATGAGCCTGACTATTCTCCCGGAGCTCCTCTTGCTTCCGCCTCTATAACAATTAGAGTGAAAGCAGTGACTCTTTCACTTTTCCAGAAACCGTATCACATTTCCATACTCATTCTCTAATCGGCTAGCTTTCTCGAAAATTAAGATATCATTTGCCAAACGAATAAAGTAAAGCAAGGTCCAAAACCCAGATTCGTCTTCTATCCGAGAATACCACGGAAGGGAAGAACAAAAGAAAGCAAAGCAAGATCTCATCGCTTGTTGCCTTTTCTCAATACACACAGAGATTCAAGTTCGTCGTATATTGCCTACAGAGCGAAAGCTGAACACTGTCTAAAGCTTCAAGACTACTAACTCGTGTTACTTGTCGTGACCGCTACAGCAACCACAGCTCCGATTTGAAAGCCATTCCTCACCTGCTCTCCCGCAGCCTCTCTCCGACAAAAATATTTCCAATTACTCTCCTCTATCCCTTGCGAAGGGCTATTGTCCTATCTAATGTAAACAGGTTATCATGGAGCGCAACAAGCGTATGTACTATCGTGTGACTGACTCCTTGTCTCTTCGACCCCTCTATTCTCGACTACCTACATACTGACACTAACTGATCTCATTCATCATAGTTGTCGTGACCATCAGTCCAATCAACTTCAAAGACCCCATCGAGAACCGTGTCCTGACTATCTCTTCCGAGAAAGATGAGATCGTCATCGGCCGCTCCTCTAGAGTGCCAACCAAGGACCTCAATCCGGCTCGCGATAATGCCTTTTTCGACTCCCGGGTCATGTCGCGCAGCCATGCCGTAATCACTGCATGTCTGCAAAAAAAGGTAACACTCTCTCGCTTTTCCATGTATACATATGTATACCTCGGGATGTCGTCATTACATGAGGTCTAATCTGGTTGGTCTGGAAACATAGCAAGTATCCGTCTCCGATACCGAATCTATGCATGGTACTTGGCTGAACGGTAACAAACTTATCAACAATGAAAAGGCGCTTTTGGGGAATCTCGATGTCTTGACATTCGGAACAAAGGTTACTCGCGGCTCAGGTCTGTGGTTCCTCTCTCCCTATTACATCTAAAAAGCTCCCTCGACACATCTAATGCATTCATCTTCTTACAGAGACTTTTGAGCCCCTCGAAGTTCGTCTCACCCTATCATGGATCAAGGAAGTGTATGTCTTTTTTTTCCCATGCACTTTCCCATTTGTTCACTATTACAGTTACCAACTATCCTTTCTTCTAGGAAACCTGCCCCGGTGGACCCTCCAAAGCCCAGCAAGCGTCACTCAGTCAATACCTTCGTCGTGCCTGAGGACGATGACGACGAAGATAAGGACTTCGATGACCCGCAAGCTGAAGCTATATTTGTCAAACGATTTGATATTGAGCCTTTACCCCACGAGCCTTCAGTCTCCGCTGATTCCGATGTGATATCAATTCACTCGTCAAATAACGATGGCGAGCAACAAGAAAAGTCTTCTCCACCATCTTCCATGCCTAGTAGATCCGGGGAAAAGGAGGATGATATACCGAGATCCGAGCAGGATGTCAGTTCTGAGTGTTCCCCAGCCAGCAAACCCCCCTATAGTTCCGTTGCTGTGGCACAAAGTGAAGTTACGGAAAATCAAGTGTCGCAGCGTCCTATTGATTTAGCATCCGACAGCTACAACGATGTCAAGACGGCGCTGCCGACCCTTATTAAAAATGACAACATATATGACGCAGAGTCAGAAGACGAACATAGCCAAGTTTCGCAGGAGGACCTCTACCCTAGCTCCAATACTATGGGAGAAAGACTTGAAATTGGGACTAAAGCCAAGTACAACCCTGATTCTGGCTTGCCTCAGAACGACAACACCAGAGCCAACGAAAATACCGGCAACACAACTGAAACCGGCATTTTGAATTCTGCAGAATCTTTTAAAAACCTACATGCAACGTGTGCTATGTCTGAGAAGCTCGATCGGCCCTCCCAACTAGCCGATACGACGAGTCAACCTGAATACCCCCGGCCCGTGACTACTACTCAAAATTTTCCCAAGCCCGGTGATTGCGATGATAACAGATACCGTGCGATTACGAGCTCAAGTATGCCTGAGGAACAAATGAATACTCCAAATCCCTCAGGTTTGGACTATAAGCCAAGCCAGGCCGAATCAAGTCGACATAGGGACCGCAATCTTGCTCTGGGCCCAAACAGAGCAGCCAGCCCTTCCGACAAGGCACTTGCTAGACCGGCCATGGGCGATTCATATTATTCTTTCTCTGAGGACAATCCCTCTGGCCGATGGATCCCAGCTTCTAACAAAAGCCATCGCCCATTCGGAAACCCCGGATCCGTTGGACTAGAATCGCCTGCAGAATTATTCGACGGGCTAGTGCCTTCGACCACCAGTGACTACTTGTTCCCCCATCTTCCACCCTTACGGCTGCCGTATTCAGACGGTCCATTTACCGCTTCAAACGAGGAAGATAACAATTGTCTAGATGATTCCGATTGGTGGGTTGCTCCATCCCTCCTTGCTAACATATACTCAGTCACTTATTCTTTGGATAGTGTACGCGACCATGGCCTGGCTGAGAACACCAGGGATCTATACCGCTTCGGCTCGCCTTTCTCGCCCACTCGTGTGCATGTACCGTTTCCCGCGGCGGCGTACCCCAACTCATCTCATCAACTCCAGTACGCCCCCGAATCGCAACCTCAGCGGCAACACGCTTGTCAGACCGCGGGTGATGGATCAAGCCATCCGCCACAGCCTAAATATGCCAATACCATGCCAAAGAATCGGAAAACAACGACCTCTATCCCAATCGCCAACATCATCGATGGGCACAAGAAGGTCACCGAGCTTAACCCACCAACGAACCCACTAAAACGCAAAGCGAACAAATTAAATCCAGAACCCATGCTAGCAGAATCATTCAAAAGCATTAACGATTTCTACAGTGGTGACGGTTGCGACGATAATGAAGATGCCAGCTTCCCGGACGCCCAGCCGCGAGACCTTGTCATATCTCCAGACGTCACATCCCAACTCTCAACATCCAACTCAACAACCAACTCAACAACCAAAATCGACTCCCAGGATCTCGGAGGGCCGTCCTTCTCCAGTGCAAGAACAAATGAATCAGCACATCCCCCACCGCGGGCGAAGAAGATCAAAGTAGAGACACCAGACGTTCCACGCGGCGCAGAGGCCAAGACTAGTTTTGCCCGCTACGCCGCCAGCGCGTTGTTGGGTGCTGCAGTTGGTGGAATTGGTGTTGTTGCTGCGTTGGCGTCGCTCCCGCCGGATTTCTTTAACTAATTCAGGATTTTATTTTGGCCGTGGTTGTCTAGGGGTCAGAATTTTGTTCCTGCTCATTCCTTTTTCCCTTTCCTTTCTTTTTTCTTTCTAAAATTTTCATCTTGCCCATTACGTTTCTCATTTTTGAGCGGGGGTTAATATTCAAAAATCACTGAAGGGTAGGGAAGACTGCGTTTCGCAGATGATTTAAGCTCCCTGCACCCCCCGGTAGCGAAACGATCTTCGGTTCGGCTCTGTCATTTTGATTGCCTTCTTGTTCGATCTTAGGAAGAAGACGAGAGAATTTTACTGACCTATACCTTGCCTGCTGGACTCGGTACCATGCCATACTATGATACGATACGAATAAGCTAGCTGACAATATGGTTAACTTACTAAATATTCACTTCTATTCAACTCAAACCCAGCACAAAATTAAGCCAACAATGATATGGCGCAACTAGGGTTTCAGGTGCATGCGGATGTCGTATTCTACGGCGGAATGACCTTTATTATGACTAAATGTTAATCGCGGATGGAAAGGGGGGTATATCCATCGACCTTCTTATCGGGTGGCGTTGGTTGAGGCGTTTTAACTTTCATCAGGGCAATCATTCAATCCCTTTTCCTCTTCATTTTTTCCTATCCTATTTTCTTTCCTTTACTGTGCGATATGGGTGCATGCGGATCTCATCCCTTTACGACACCTAAATGAAAAGTCCCATCCCATCCGTAACTACCTCACCCAATGCTCATCCCAAATCTTGACAATGGGTATGGCATTCATTTGACATTTCCCTTACGCTTCGCCTTTCGACATGGCCATAGTTCTCATCTTATTTTCATGTCTTTGTTCTTTTGCCTTGTTTAATATTTCTAGGTTTGATGTTTATGTTTGTCTTTCTAATTGTTATTCTTTCCCCTCAATAATCACAATGACATGGAAGAATCTCAATTTAAAGATGCAGGTTAGCTCTTTTTTATCTCCCCAAGCTTGCTTACTAGGCAGTTAATAATTTCTTTTACTTATTTACTGGATCTTTTACTACGTTCATTTTTAGTCTCCTTGAGGATTTCTTTGTAACTGGAGAGAAAACTACAAGAAAAACTATTGAAATTTGAATAGCAGAAAGAAGCCTAGCATTCCTCTCCTATTTCAGTGGTGATTTAGGAGAAATTGAAGTTATCCAGGCGTTACTTTTTAAAAGTTACATAGTCAGCAAAATCAACCCGCGTCGGCACGCCGAAAAGTTTACCAGGGTAGTTGAATGAACTAAGAGTGAATGAAACTCTTCTCTGCTTGGATTATGCAATGAGTTTAATTATCTTGATCTAGTAATTATACAGAGCGCAGGCATGTCGAACAAAATCCAAACAAAAACAGTTATAAAAAGAGCAGTAAAAAATATATATATCAAGCATTACAGCAAAGAAAAGGAACATGAAACCTGTATTCGCCAACGAGGATGTTAATAGAAATGTGGAATAGAGAGAAGACCGTGTGTTTGGCGATGGACCGATGCGGGGGAGGGGGATTGTACAAAGCATGGTATAATTGTAAGTTATATGGTGTCCAGCATACACAAACGTAGACCAAGGTTGGAGAAACTGAGGCGTGCAGTGTAGGGGCGAGAATCATATGGTACAAGCAGGACGTAGAGGATGAGGAATGTTGGGTATTGTGATCTTAGGCATAAACGGATAAAAAAGACAAGCAAAACAAAAAAACTCCAAATCAAGTTTGCGAATGCGAGGGATACAACGGGGGATTAAAAAATGTAGCATATTAGTTAGGTTGAGCGGGTAGGCGACAAATAGCAAGCATCACGTTAGGATAGTCGTCACCGCTCTGGGGGAGAAGATATAATATGTCAGTGCACGGAAAATGGCGGCGTCGTCGTAACGGTTTCGTATATTTGAGAAACATTTCCAGACAGATGGTACTTGACAAAAGCGTTCTTACGCAAACGGCGAAGCGGCGGTTGCAGGGACAACAAGCAAGTATTGCTCAATGTTCAATCGAGAGGGTCATGGCGGAATGTACAATCGTCGCCTTTAAGACATTTGCCTTCCTTCCAGTACCTGCAAGGAACGAGGCCTGCTTTAGGCTATATCGAGTGAATGGCCCATTAGTTAAGGAAACCTAAAATTTAAAAGGGCCAAGGCAGCTTACATGTTTCTTGTGCTTGAAGTCTCCATTCATCCTAGGCCGCTTGTTGCCATGTCCGTGACCATGCCCGTGCCCGTGGCCGCCGTCGTCATAATCGTTATATCCACCAATCTTTTTATGCCCGTGACCATGACCTTCGCGCATCCGCTTCCTATCCGCATCCTCATAATAGGACCCATGCTGCTGTTTCGGCTGATTCTGATTATAGCCCACAAGTTGAGACGGTGGCTGCTGTTGTGCTTGTGCCTGCACCGTCGCGCCGGGATTTTGGAACTGCGAAAGGATCGAGGCGAGATTCGGGGCCTGAGATGATGAAGGCACTTGGCCCTGGGACGGAGGAAAAGCAGGAGACCCTTGTTGCAGCTGTGCTTGCGCATTCATGATAGCAAGGAGTGCTTGGATGTCTAGGCTACCTGGCAACGCCCCGGGTTGGGTAGCCTGCGGAGCTTCAGGGATTTGCAGCATTGGAGTAGCAGTGGGCGGACCTTCGCTTGTGGGGAAGTGGCCAAAGGTTTTCTCCAGGTCGGATATAGGGTTTAGTGGCTGAGATTGTTTAGGTTGTCCTGGTTGGGGAGCTTGCTGGATGAGTTTGAGTAGAGAAGCAATGTCCACGTTGGAGTTTTGCGGTGTCATAGCCGATTGGGGTGGTTGCGGTTGTGTTGGTGGTGGTTGCTGTGGAGTTGGTGCTCGGGCTGCGAAGTACTTTACTGAGCGCGCCTGTTTAATTAAGAATGTTAGAAGACTGCACCGTGAAAACATTTTTGACATGTGCTTATATACCTTTGTTCGATCTCCCGGTTCGCCAAAAGGGACTTCCGGCTCATAAGCTTCATCCGGATCAGGGGCAGGTGGTTCTTTAGGAGACGTCGGAATATCAGCTGGCGATGTATAGAAGACGCTTAGAGTTTTGGCTTCACGCTGCTCCTGAGCTAGCTTTTCGGGGCTCTCGGGTTCCTGAATTCCCCCTCTCTTGAGGAAATTCCTCTGACGCTCTTCAGGATCAAGCTCTGAGAAGTCGATCTCTAATCGTGACGTTAGTAAGCAAAATAAAAGAAAAAAAATACGCAATATTTGACTCGAAAGGGGATCGATCATCTATACCTATTGGTGAAGTGTAAGGATAGAAGGTTTTTTCTCGAGCTTCCGGATCATCGTCATCATCATCATCATCCAAATCATCCATCCCCCGATGAAGTTTAAGTGTCCTTCCCTCGCCTCCTACATCGGCAACATCACGAATCATGCTGTCATCATGGCCAATTTCTTCCTCGGGATCATGAGTGAACAGACGTATTTCAGTCAAAACATCGTCTGGTTTCCAGCTGACACGAAGCTTACGGCGCTCTTCTTTTCTAAGCCGTTTCTTGCGTTCTTCCTCTGTTTCTGGAGGAAGATCTTCTGCCGGCTTGCTGGCCACCAATTCCTTCGGTTTGCTCAAATCAGCCATTGTCTCTGAGAATGAGAAAGCGGGTTTCGGGGCGGCGGTCGGCGGCGGAGTGGGCTTCTTTTCCGGAGGTGGACTACACATCTTATTAGCATAGACCTATTCACAAAAGGAGTTAATCAACACATACTTTGTCTTCTCTTTAGCAGCAGCTGCTGCACGCGCCGCATTCGAAGTTCCTGGCTTTTTCGACGCAGACATCAAGCTGCTAAAAAGGCTCGGAGTCGGTTTTGGGACTACCATATTAGGTTTCGGCTTGGCAGCAGCAGTGTTTCCGGCTGCTGCCGTGGTTTTGGCATCTAGAGTCGTGGCTGTGGTTCGTTTGGTGGCAGCTGCTGCTGTGGGTCTCGCAACAGGTTTGCCGTTGGAAGGGGCTACAGTTCGTTTTGTGGACGGCGAACCACCTGTCTCCGGTTCACGAGGCCTCTTGGCACCTGCAGTGGGCGGAGGCTGGTTACGGATAACGATTTCGGGGTTCATAGGCACCATTCCATGTTCATCAAGCGTACTCTCTGTCTTTTTAGGCGTGGTCTTCGCGATTTCAGCCTTCCTTTTCGTCAACTCTGCGGCGTTGGATAAAATTGTTTGGGCTAGCTGCTTAATGACGTCCCCCCCTTTCTTCACAAATCGGGAGAGAATCTTGTCATTTTTGGTTTTCTCAAGCATGGCTTGATCCATTGTCACAAATTTTGTCATGAGCTATCGTCCCAATCAGTAACTACTCCAAGAAGAGGCAATACGACAGGTAGAGCGAAGTTAAATATTACCTTCAAAATGTTCACTGTCAGAGGCCCATCGCTATCTGCTGCCGTGTGTCGATCAAGTAGAAAGGAATATAGAGCGGATACGATAATTGGGTGTTCACCGAACCTAATATTGATATAAGTATCTTTCTCATCGTGATCGATTAATTTCTTTAAAGTAGAATACTCCGTATATGAACGAGGAAAAGAAGCAAACGGACAAGACAGTCAAAGGCTAGGTCGCAACTTGGGGGGGGGGGGAAACGCCCTCGCGTATTATGACATGACACCGCCGTCGAGTTCCGAACAGCTGGTATCTACATAACATTTTAAGTGGCGCTTGGTAGGGGTAAAAGTGTTGGTACAATTAGATGCAGCGAAATATAGAGGCTAGCACATTAATTGTGCAGGCTATTTTAAGCTTCATACGTTCGCTGCACATTAACTCTCCTTCAGAAAATTCTAAGAAGTAGATGTAATAGCGCTTGGTTCTTGCCTTTGACATAACGCAAATCAAGCTAATTGTCCACACGAGACATTATTACTTGTAACATATCTTCGATTTTCTTCTGAAATTTTCTTCTGCGTTTTATCTCCCCAAACAACTACAATTTGGGCGATAATAATGACATGCCAGGTGTACAGAAACAGGGAACGAAATAAAAATTGAACATACCTTTGGATGATGGCTGGATGGCCACCGTCTAGCGCTGTTGTCACGATCAAATCTATAAGACGCCGTTGCAATATGACCTCCTTCTTAATTTCTGGGATTTTATCCTCTTGATTTTGATTCTCAGCTGCTTTTAATATTTCGCTCTTAGCTTTCCAAGTATCGCGGACGCCCTTGACAAGTTCCGAAAATACCGTCAGTGCGTGTCGTATCGTAGATATTGGTGGCTGTTTATTCCTCGGCGACCAAACTGCTTTTAATGTGTCGTACTTGATGGCACCTTCAATATCCAGAGGGCGCAAAGGCGGAAGAGGGAATGGCTCTGGTGCGACGTCAAGATCCGATGAACTATCGAAGTCACTACTATCCGAGCTAGTTGAGGCATCGAGAAGCCGTGGCCCTTGCTTCACCACAGCTTTACTTGCTGTCTTTGTGCGTTCCTGAGCCTTTTCTGACTCATCTTTCTTCTTCCGTTTGGTTGGTGGCTTATCAGCTTTAGTTCGCGCTAGTACTTATTAGCGGGATGTCCGCGATGCACATATCAAACAAAGTTGATGCAGAGTTGACGGTAAGCGTACCTTTCGTTGGCTTCTTTCCGCTTGCTGTAATTTGGGGAATTAGCTGCACCGTGTTGAAATTTTGATTCGCGCCAACCAAACGAGGAGCGATCTCCGCACCGTATGCCTGATAGAGGCTATGTCAAATAGTTAGTTATACAAAACCCCTTTGAAATAAATGGGACTGAAAGGCTTACTCAGGTGCAGGACGGTTGTCTAAATCCGCAGGATTAATGACATAAAAATCGTTTTGGGAAGAGCCAGGTTGGATCATTGAATGCTGAGATGCAGAAAGAAACTGCGGATCAATGGTATTATGATATGCAGAGCTCGGATGACGCGTCTGGAAGCCATTTGCTAAATTGATGGTATCATTCTACAGATGGGTTAGCTCTATCCTCAAGAGGTCAGTGTTAGAACTCACTTACTTGCATATCATTTTGCAATGGCACAGGCCTTTCATAAGATGGCAGCGGACTTCGAACGGGGGATGGGGCGAGTTGCGATGCATGATTTACTCTCTGCAGATCAACTGCACGTTGCTGACTAAATCCATTCTGAGTTGCTGAAGGGGAATTCGCATAAAAGTTTTGGGGATCGAAAGTGTATTGGCGATAAGGGGTATTTTGTTGCGAGGCCTCGTATGGAGGAGGATTCGGTTGTGGAAACTGGTTGATATGGTATTGCGCCGGCAAGGTATAATTCTGCTGCGATTCTTGTACCATCTGAGGTTGCAACTGAGACTGCAACTGAGGCTGTAATTGAGGCTGTTGCCATTGTTGTTGTTGTTGTGGTTGTTGTGGTTGTGTTTGCGAATATATATCTTGTGGTTGCTGCTGGGGTCTCGATTGGGGGTTGGCATGTGCGGCCTGAAAGACGGGGTGGTCCCAGCCTATACCAAAAGGCGGACTATCGGGCTGATTGGAACTGTACAATGGGTGTATCCCCGCCCAGAACTCTCCGGAATATGCATTTGTCGCGGGTTCAGGCGCAGGTGAAGGGTTCGACGAAGGGTCCATGGTCATTTTGACTCCTCGCCCCCTTTGTTTCTTTCTATGTCCGGTCCCTCAGGGTTGGCCAGGTCACGTGGTTGAAGAAGGCGGGAGAGACGGTTCCTCCCCAATCTGGGTTGACTTATTGCCGCTTTTAGGATCAAGCTAGGGGAGGGGAAGGGATTGGACCCGATCTAACTGTATGCGTACTAGCGCGAGGCTGTGAAAGGACAAGCCAATCTCTTTTAGGAAAGACAAGGGTGCTGCCCAGTCTCTGGTGGTTTCAACAGCAAAGCAAAGTTTGATATTCAGCCCCTTCGCTTGGGCCCCCTTTCTAACAGTAATAGCTGGCAATATCTGGCTGTTTGTGCTTGATGCTTGTGGGTCTTCTGCCTGTGCTGGTGCAGAATTGTGTTGGGGTGTGTCTCTCTCTCTCTTTGAGGGTTTGTTAGGTGACTCTTTTTTTGTTAAGGGCCCCAGAAGGCCATTTGTTGCGGGGCTTTCAATAAATGTTAGACGTTAAAAAGAGAGTAATATAAATAGAGAAGAGAAAAATGAGCATATGCAGGAGGATCAAATCGGCTTACTTTGCCCTCCTGATTGTCAGTTCTGGCCGAAAAGTGTTTGGGGGTTGGTTGCCGGCTTTATATGGAGGAAACTCTGCTGCAAAAATAGACGACCACCCAAGAGGAATACACCACAAGTCAAAAAGTACAGCAATATCCACCACAGCAGCCGCTCAGCTTCTTCCAAATACCTCCCAGGCTGTATTGTATTGTTTTCCAACTCAAAATTCTCTCAAATGTCCCTCTTCTATCCTCGCACCTTGTTCCTGCGCGGTATTCTCCTTCTGGAGCCACCAACTTTAGGGCAGCCTTGCCAGTTTTCCACTCGCCTTAGTCCACGGAGAAAAGTCTCATACAGGAGCCCGTACCTCAGTTTTTCAGCTTAATAGCATAGTGAATGCCTTTACGATGAGAATTCAGCAGTTGAGAAGGGATATGCGGGATATGGGGATGATGGAGAGTGCGTTTGTTGTTTGAGAGACGATGGGAACTGACCGGCACGACGACGTTGTTTTGTCATCCGCCACCGGTCCGGCTGATTTTCCGGAAAGAAATAGCGGAAGAATAGTACTTCCGGGACTCCGAACTGCTGATTATGTCATCAGTACATCGCGGCGCAGAGCGATACTGAGATCTGGCGATAGCGACAACAACAACCAGCTATTATGTATCTACTTTGCACCGCCGATTGATTATGATCTGCGCCGATGTCCGGCTCGAATGACTTCCGACCATACTTTTTATGCTCTCAGTAATCTTTAAATAATTCATCCGAGGCAAGAAGAGTGAACTCTTTTCGAGCCCCGCCAACCCTCCTGACAGGCGCATCTCCGTCTATCTACTTCCTGATGGCTTCACATCTTCCTTCTCTCCGACAGAGGCAAATTGGTATGAACTCTGCTCTAATGGTCCTATATTGAATGTGACTAATATATCCCTTTATTTATATAGCTTCTATTGAGAAGATCCTAAATCTGAACCATGAAGCGCCTCACCAGAATGACTTCCACAGCGACGCTGTTGGCCCTACTGGCCTAATACACTCCACTCCAATACTCAATGAAGATGGCGATCCCATATGGAAAGTGTTGGTGTTTGATAACTTGGGCCGTGATGTTATAAGCAGCGTTTTGCGAGTCAACGATCTTCGAACATGGGGTGTCACAATCCATCTGTAGGAGCGCTCTTGGAGTTAATTCGTGCTTTCAGGAGTATACTTTCTTTGCTAACGCATGGGAATTAGAAATATCAAAAGTCTTCGATGTCCAATTCCCGATGTTCCTGTGATATACTTTGTTGAGCCAACTCCGGAGAACATAAAGCTTATAACCTCAGACTTAGAAAGAGATATCTACTCGCCTGCATACGTGAACTTTATATCGTCGGTTCCACGACCACTCCTAGAGGACTTTGCCTCTCAAATAGCCTCCACGGAAACATCAGAAAAGGTTGCCCAGGTTTACGATCAGTATTTGAATTTTATCGTTTCGGAGCCGGATTTGTTCAGTTTGGGAATGGGGAAAGATATGTACTGGAAAATAAACAGCACCCAAACCACAGATGAGGAATTGGATAACATGATAGACAGAATTGTGAGTGGTTTGTTTAGCGTCAGTGTCACTATGGGTATGCTTCTCCTTAAATATTCTTTCATCCTAGTGCCTCTCACTAACGCAAGTGAAGGCTCCATTCCGATAATCAGATGTCCGAAAGGAGGAGCATCCGAGCTAATTGCGACTAAACTCGATCGCAAACTGAGGGACCACATATTAAATTCCAAAGATAACTTGTTCTCTAGCTCCTCCCAACGGCACGGTGCTGGGGCCCCATCAAGTCGTCCTGTTCTGATCATCGTCGACCGTAACGTGGACCTGGTGCCCATGCTCTCCCATTCCTGGACTTACCAATCACTGGTCCATGATGTCTTAAAAATGCATCTCAACCGTATCACGGTTGAGGTACCGGTCGACGACTCGAACCCCACAAAGGGTACAACCAAACGTTCATATGATTTGAGTGTGAACGATTTCTTTTGGAACCGCAACGCAAGCGTCCCTTTCCCGCAGGTGGCCGAAGACATTGACGCCGAATTAACGCGGTACAAAGAAGACGCGGCCGATATAACGAGAAAGACAGGCGCTTCTTCCATCGAAGATCTTCAAAACGACACCAGCGCATCGGCCCAACACCTCAAGGCAGCTATCACACTCTTGCCAGAGCTACGGGAGCGGAAGGCACTCCTCGACATGCACATGAACATCGCCACTGCTCTCCTCAAAGGAATTAAGGATCGACAATTAGATAATTTCTTCCAGCTCGAGGAAAATATTACGAAGCAGAATAAATCGCAAATTCTTGAAATATTATCCAAGCCTGACGGGGGCACAAATCCATTGGACAAGCTGAGGTTCTTCTTAATTTGGTTCTTAAGCACAGAGACAGACCTCTCCAGAACAGAACTGAATCGCTTTGAAGAGGTACTCATGCAGGCCGGATGTACCGACATTAGCGCAGTTGCATTCGTAAAAAGGGTCAGAGAAATAACTCGGATGACAATGATGACAACCGCTACCACCGCAACCACCCAACAACCTTCCTCCGACCTCTTCCGCGGTTTCTCTTCTCTCTCAAACCGTCTTACAGACCGCATCACCTCCGGCGCCCTTGGCGCGAATTTCGACTCCCTAATATCCGGCGTAAAGAACTTCCTCCCTGTAAACAAAGACCTAACTCTAACGAAAATCACGGAATCGATCATGGATCCCGCGGGCGCATCAAGTTCCGCGATTGCAATGACAGAGAATTACCTCTATTTCGACCCACGCAGCGCAAATGCACGAGGCGCCGTCCCACCGGCGGCCTCGACCCGAAACCAGCAAGGTGGGAGTAGCATGCCCGGCGCACTTGGCGGTACCGCACCAGGTACTGGTGCCAGCTTCGGCCAACGGCGACAGGGATTCAGCGAGGCAATCGTATTCACGGTGGGCGGTGGGAGCATGGATGAATATGGCAATCTTCAAGATTGGGCACATCGAACAGGGGGCGGTTCCCTAGCCGGCGGCGGTGGGCTGGGTGGCTCTTCGGGCCCGGCTGGTGGGGTCAGCGCTGGAGGTGGATCAGGGGTATCTGACGCGATGTCAAGACGAATTGTATATGGGAGCACGGATCTAGTTAATGCGACAGAGTTCTTGACTGAGGCGTTAGGCAAGCTTGGGAAAGAAAGCTGATTTCTAATACAATGTTTTCTCATTTTTTTTTATAATATATTGTTACCTCCCTCCAGCCTGATATAGTGCTCCCTTCTGAGAATGTATCACTCAGCACACACTTACCTATCATCTCGTGTACGGCGCTAAAGGGTGATTTTTTATTCGAGGAGGCGTTTTTGATCTTTTAGCGACCTATTCAAACGACTTGAGAAATCGGTCTCATTTACTAAATATCAGAATGTGCAGCGTCTACAGGTAATGCCACATCATATAATGTTATTATGGAGTTTGCATCCCGCTTCCGAGTTTACAGTCATGTTATCATGCTGCAATATCTTATTCTTGACTAACCCTAACTTCCTACGCGCCTATCTGGACCACAAGGCCGCTATCACATGAAGATCATTTGGCCCCTGTCAGGCCTGAGCCTTTATGTATATTCCTATTGCAGTTATTAAAACAGTCTGATAATCGGCAGTTCTCGTTTTCCGTGTCGAATTATCATTGGCCGTTTAACTAATTTACAGTTACAGCCTAGGTCCACAGCAGCTTTCTCAGCTAGCGCAAGCAGGATGTTCAGCTTTAAGAGTTATCGGGATGCTGAGCGTTGGATACTAATGTTCTCTTGCTCCCTTATGTTGGTCAGGTTATTAGATAAATCCACTTGAGACATCGTGTCCCGCTAGGATTTCGGGCAGCCCTAGATATGAGTCCGACAATGTCCTACATATAATTCAGGCCGCGATATGTGTCTGTATCAACCGGGCAGACGGCAGCAACACAGCATATCCAATAGGAAGCGATAACTACTAGGATACACAATGTTAAAACGATCCGGCCCGCCAGAGGGTGAAAAACGCACTGCCCACACAGCTGCTCTCACTCAAGCACGCCCCTCGCCTTGGGAGATTTAAATCCATACGAGCGGTGTTGACGGGGTGGTTCGCAGCACCAGGCTAGGTGCAGATGCCATCGGCTACCGGCAGCTGTCTCCTGAACTCAAAATCAGAGTGGTTGATCCCTCGAGTTTTACATGCACGACGTTGGCAAGCCTGTAGCGGATGGGCGGGCGGTATGATCCATTCTAGAGGCCGTTCATCCATATCCGGATTATTCTCCACGTCCAGGGATGGCGGTTCCCTCGTAGGGCAGAGGAAGAAAGATGAAGAGGAATCATTACTGAGAAAACGGATATGTTTCATATCTGAGCAACAGAACCGCCGGTAGTTGAAAGGGTGCGGGATGTCTGCTCTGGGATTCTCGGGTATTTTGCTTTATTTTACGATGGCCATTGCTTGGGTTAAGTTTGGCGAACATTGCATCCTGGCAAATTGTGTTCCTGGGGTACTTTTCTCTTTCTATTCTGACATTTCTTCCTGCTTGTGTAGCTTCAAATCTACAGGTTGCATACGGAGTATTGTTGAGATTGGAACTATATGCAACCAAAATGCCAGGTCGCGAACACGCCGTACGATATCAAATCTCCCGAGAAGAATCAGGGGTTTTGAGGCACGTTCCGTTGCACGTTTTGTCTTCGTGGCTATAGATATATAAGTTAAAATATAGATTTTCATTTTTTATACTCAAGCTCAGTATTTATGGTGGCTGGGGTAAGCAGGACTTGACATCTTTATACTCATAGTGAAATTTCAATACGGTCCTCTCCAAACCATATCCATATACCCCCTTTTCCCGCGTCGATAGCCTGGAAAAATTCGTTCAGTTGTTAGTTGGTATAGAGCCAATGTGGCTCAATCCTAGGCTCTCTTCACAACCAAATCAATTCTACTGAATTTCCTAACCTCTAGGATTCCGAAGGCAAGTCTCAGCTCTCTCAGACTAATTGCCCCATTGAGAATTCCTGTCCTCCTCAGACGAGACAAGGTCCAACCCAAAGATATTATTAACACTTTACTCCCTGGCGAGCCCCTGTAACTCGATCCCAACTGGACCGTCCTTGCAACGTCCTTTGTCGTTTCAAATATTCTCTCTCGCTCTGACTTCACTTTCTACAGTCATGCCGTGCCATTGGCTATTTTGCTGCTCTCGATCCTGTCGACAATTGCTGTTGGTGATCCGATGGCAACTGCAGCACATCCAAAGCGTCAATTCTGTCAGCGTCACTGTCAACGTCCTGTGCTCCTTTTCCTCGTGTGCAATATGCCTACATAGTAGGATAGAATGTTGGTTTGGCTCAATAGTTAACTGGATAGACCTGGGATCTTGACAGCTGCTGATACCTGTTGGCGGACCCTTTTGACTTTTGTGTCAAGGTGCTTGATAGTTATCCTGTTATTTAGTTCAGCCCTCGCTCGCGGATTATGATATCTTGCATCCAATTAACTACGCATCATTCTCTGGCTACCTTGTCGGCTTGGCCTGCTTTAGTGTCTCCCCGACTCAAGGAGAGATAGTTGCAGTGGTCTTGTTGACCTCTGTACACGGTTTTAGACCTCTGGCAAAATTATACATTCGGCAAAATGAGGATTAAATAATGTGCCCACTTTCGTTGAGCTTGGGCTGAGCCTTGAACCAGTTTTTATGCAGACAGGACACCGAATATAATAACCACGCCAATGTAGGAAGCAAGCCAGGGAAGTGCCGTCGTGCGACTACAAACCTCAGAGCAGCTCACCCTGATTAGTTGGCTTGCGGATATACTTATTTACCACCTACCGCCTGGCTATCCAACTTCATATCCTTCCCTTTGAACGCTCGCTCGTGCTGGACCCCAAGCCCACCGTTGATGACCGGGATCCAGGAGTAGCCTTTGTCTACATTTGTTTGGTTTGGCGACCTTCTTCTCCATCCAAGCCAGCCAAATTTTCTGTGATATTGCCAATGGACCGAAGCGAAGGCCTGGTACGGTACCCACTGCCATCTTCGCTCCGTGGTCCCTTCACATTCCGTCACATGAGAGTTGATTCTGCGCTGGCACTTCCTCCCATTCATACACCGTTTGTGGAGGAAAAGACTCCCAGTACAGCATATACGAGCTGGGCACAGCTGGCATACAATGTGCCATCTTCCTTGATCCCATACGGATTGCTTTGTTTTTTTCTATCGTCCTTTTTCTAGACAGATCCTGATGCTCGCTGGCCACCCCACAGAACCCAGTATTCCGTCCGTTCCGGATTCTCCATTATTCAGCTCGTGAGGGTTTGTGTCATCCGCCATACTACCGATATCTAACGCCTACTCCTCCGATTAGTATTTCAGACGTGCATGATAATATCCTCTAGCGCTCTTGTCAGAATAGATTGTTCCCATGCACCATACGCCCCGCGTTTTACCTCTCTTCCTCCTTTCCACTCAGTGGGAATTTGACATATTGCCCTACATCATCAAACCCTGGACGTTTCAACCGCATGCTGTAGGGCTGCTGCGACCACACGGTTCCGCCTTGGCGGCAATGCCTATTTCCGTGCTTGATTTGTCAATTCGTCTATCTGATAACAGACCGTTATTTGACATGCTATGCCTAAAATATCTCTCCTGGGCTGGGCGGTGAGAGCCGGGCCACCGATTACAGATATGCTGCGGCATATGAGAGCTCTTAGCTGTCCATTCTACTGGTACCGTACTACCTGAATTGGGGTCATTTGAAAGCACCAATAGAAAGAACCTATTCTGCAGTTGGCATGCAACATATCTCCTTCTTGTCGAGTCCGCAGCCTCTGTTGGCCATTCCTTTGAGTCAATTGCATGACACACGATAGCTGCCCTCCAACATACTGCGCCCCATTTACACAGACTTTTTTTTTTCTCGAGCCATGGCTGACTTCTCAGAGAAGCACGTGGTTATTGCGCTATTTGTGTGACAGCCACTGATGCCCCTGGGTTTGAGCAAGTTGAAAGCGCCAGCGTGATGAAATCATTTCTGCTGACAGGCGTTTGTTTTGGTTGTCCTTTTTATCAATCTTATCACAGTCGCCTATTTTCTGTTAACCCCTCCTTCGGCGCTCTCCTATGCCGCGAGCCCCAAGCAATCCGGTGCTATTTCTTTAAATTTGGCCGACTAGAGGGTCATCAAATTTCACCATGTCTACCCTATCCCTATCAATAGTTCGCATCAAGGCTAGGTGAACTCTGAGCGAAGTCGGGGTCCCGGATTGTCGAATGCCGGAAGCGTGATCATAATCCCTATCCTCCTAATTCGATATCCCGCTATCGTCAGGCCGGAAAATCCAAACCCCCACACAAGGTCAGCCGTTAATTGGAAAGATGTTATTATCTTTGCCTGTCACATCCTCCCTGGTGCCACGGCAGGTCCAAGGTATTGGTACTGTTGCATATCTCTCATTGCTTTCTGTCATAATAATCTACACACCCTTATTGGGTACACTCTCCCAACACTGGGTGGAATATGCGATGGAGGAATGGGACGAACTATATAATGGAGTTGTTCTCCCGCCCTTATCCTCGTCATCTTGATTGCAGTTCTATATCAGGATCCCCTTCACTAGTATCTTCTGAGTCGAACACGACTACTTATTGTCATTTCCTGCCACTGGTTTTACATAGCGCGTCTACGCACCTCCTTTGAAAGATCTTCTTGTCTCATTACGTGGTCTCCATTAGTTCAGGATTTCATTGCTCCATCCAGAACCGGCTATTGCACATTCTGTACGGCGCTGCTTCTGTGCCTGTTCATTAATCTACGTCAACCATTTCCGCTATACAGCTCCAAGCACAAGTGTTAAAATGGAGAGCATGACCCCAATGGAGACGCCTTCTTATCTCCTTGACCCAGGCCACAATTCTTGTATTGGCAGAAACATTGTTATTGATTGTCCCGAGTGTAAGGGGGGTCCGCGGTAAGTGCTGAGGCTGAACTACACACTCTCCAGAAGTTCATACACTTAACCAATCGTTCTTCCAAAGTTATACGTGCGCGCGTTGCCACCAGAGGGGTATTTTACGATACCCTTGCTGGCAATGCCAGCCGCAAGAAGCTGTTAGGCAGGCTATAGCCATGCGTTCTGCCCCGGCAAGTGCAATTTCATAACATCAGGAACAAACGGTAAGTGAAACCCACCTCTCTCAAACAGCCATGAACTGTTGAATGGGCTCCACTGGAGGGAGCGGGTAATACACCCCCTGATTTCATTTATTGTACTGATCAACTTAATAGATTGCTAGGGAGCTTGCTCCCGATTGAAGCCGTACTCATATTAACTTCGTGGTATGAGGCGACTACATATTTAGGGACTTACTTAAGACGGCTGGCCGAATAGAGGCGATATTTCAACTCGTTTTTGCTACAATTGATGGCCTCTACAAACAAATTGCACCCATTTCCCTCTTAAAATGGTTACTTGGAAGCGTCCAACTTTCGCCCCGGCCGGCATCCTTGTATAGTGATATAATTTCCTTCTTCTATCTTTCTTGCGCCTTGTATTCTCCACAACCCTTCCATGATCCCTCCCCCACTTTCTACGTTCCATGGCATCTTTCTATTTCCTTTCACAAACTTAAGATATTCTGATATGTGCAGCTCCTACATTTCTACCGAGGGGCGTTAAGAAAATGGGCGCTAGAGAATGGCGCATAGGTATTTGGTGACATATGCATTCACGAGCTCTAACGATTTTCTTTTCTTCCATTCGTCCCTCTTATTCCTTGTCAGTTTCGGCTATATCATTTGGCATGCGCGGCTGAGAAATTTAACGCCAGGTGCGTTAGAGGGATTGCGATTGGAACGGGTGTGGAAACGGCGATAGGAGTGAGATTGGGACCCCCCTGACCCTTTGTGTGTTTGACCTCAAGCTATTCATGATTTATTCAACCCGCATAGAGGTTGACTTTAGGGAATTCTCTCTCTTTTTGTTTATTATTATTTTTTCTCTCGCTGTCTTACACTCGCTCCAGACGACTTACCTATCAAATTAGGTTATGAATATGAACCACTATGACACCAATAATTTATACTACAATCTATTCCGACCTTGTATATGCACACAGCTTATTCTAGTACGACATGCACACCCCGTAAACGTGACAAACCCCATATCACAAATAAGATAGTTAATATGTATGCGGTACGCACAGAACAATGCATACCAATATCCTAGGAAAGACCACATACCTACCACCAAGATACGTATACCGATCAAGTCATGCGCGGTCAACGTGGCTGGATACCTGTGACCTCAAAAATGGGACTAAGCAACGCTGAAATACAAAAATAAGTCTTCTATCCATCCACTCGGCACTCCCCGCTTTTGTCGCGTCGGTTATTGAAAAAAGTAGCCTCTAGTCGCGGGACAAAATAAAATATGGAGAGGTGGGGAGAATTGTACAGTACTTAGCAGGAATTGTGGGGGTGAGATTAATGAAGCAAAACAGAAGAACCAAGATTTTCAAGAACGAGAGGTTGAGTAGATATGCCCTGCATATAAACAGCACATGATGCAGAGAGTGAAACAGCCCGCAGATAAAATAAATCATGATATCAGCCACCTAGTTAAAAAATCATTTCCGAAACTCGCAGATGCCAGATCAAAATCAAATCCCTGAATCTCACGTTCAACGCCTAGTCCCACCTAAATAGTATCTCCAAGGAAAAAGAAACGCCACATTCGTCCCTCTGCATTCCCCTCGGTAAACCCGTCTGCTCAATCGGCGAGTCTATGTATATGTAAATCCAGTTAGAAGATCGTTATCTTGCATAATGAAGTACAGTAACCATATAAAAAAGATATCAGCAAAAAAACCGAATATCTACATAGTAGATACGAACCTGTAGCTAACCAACGTATCCACGCGATGATTGCTAGTACTGAAACTTCTCAGCTGCACCTTCTCCCCATTCTCAATTTCCTTGGCATCACTATCACCCCACTCCATGGGTACCTCGGAATCGGCGTCTGCATACACGAGCACGTTGAATGTACAGTTACCATCCAGGACGGGGAGGAAGGTGACAGAAGCGGTGATCTGGCGGAAGATCGCTTGAATTTCTTCTTGGATCTCCTTTTCGGATTTCTCGGGTGGAGGGGTTGCGGTGGAGGCCGGATTTGTGGGGCTGAAATTTCACATCGTTGTTACGAGCAAGTTAGCCAGAGATTTTGAGCACGGCGAACTATATGTACACATTTTGTAGCCGAGTGGCAAGGAGTTGGCTATTAGTCCACGTACATAAGAGCATTCTCGTTATCGGGTGACACCTTTTGCGCGGATCGACTCCGGGAAGATCTGCTGTTGCTGAATATTTGGACCTGCCATTACCATAAAGAGTCAGAGTCGCATCGACTTGGCATCTTCATTGTGGTGGGATGAAAGTGTTTTAAGCCTACGTCGAACTGCCATCTTTCGACATGCTCCCCTGTATCCTTGCTTGTGATCACAATGACGAGCTTGGATATCTTGCCTCCAATCATCCACTTGTTGAGCTGCGACATGATCTTTTTTATATAAGCTTTGACTTGGTCGTCGGAGGACACTAGGTAGACACTTATTAGAGAACGGGGGTACGGAGAAACAGGTAGCCAGCCACCAACCAAGCATATTCAGGCCATATTTCTTGACGCTGTGAAAACCCATCAGCATCAATTCTTCTTGCCCATTCAAGAATTATCCTGTGTGCCCTCACGCTGTGAAATCATCCGCTGGATATACCCCGCGTTGGAACCTATGACGTCTGGTCGTTAGCTTGCTTTACCCCCCCGCCCCCCCCCTCTTTGCGCTGGCCGCTTCTTCTTGCCCGGGTCTGCACGTACAGGATTGAATGTATGGAGTACTCGAACTACAAATATCAGCATCTGTTCAATAGACTGTCTGGTATTTGGTAAGCTCGCTTACAAATTCCGCAACTAATTTCGAGGACCCTAAACTCCAATTATCAGATTGAACTCATGTGGTGCGGGGTGCCGGTTCATTCAAAGACGAGCAACAGACGAGCAACAGACCCTTCAGTGACAACTTATGGACTTTTGACTTCTCTTTTTGCGTAGACATTTTGGCAGAGTATGTGTATCAATGAGTGAATATGAGAAGATGGAGGATGAAGATCAGTAACTAGCAATTGCTCGTATAACGACTAGACGGCGTGTCGAGCAAGAAGATGAGAAAATGCCATCGCTGGATGTTTTCTTGTTTACTCTCTCGGCGTCGCTACGGCAATCGCCAAGTCACGTTAACTACTCCGCGCTCGGCCCACCTTCCTTTCTGGGCCGGACTTAGCAGAGCCGCAAATTCTCGCCGAAAATCTTTGAGTTCCAAAAAGAGAACTTAAAATCTCCACCGAACACAGAAGGCTGCCCACCGTGAGATATTGGATGAATTACCCAGCAACAATACCAGTGACGCCTGATACCCGACGTCAATGCGGATATCCCGATGCGAGGATGTCTGCAGTCAGTCAAATGGCTGACCTCAGCAGTGCGGCAGTCCCAGTCCCTTACTTCGTCAACTAGATTCCCGCGCCGGCTTTTCAATACCTCGACCCTCCACTATGCGCAAGGCAGGAAGCCAGTCTCGGAGCTAGAGCAACGCATCGCAGCAATCCCAATTGAACGCTTCCGGAATTTCTGCATCGTTGCCCACGTTGACCATGGCAAAAGTACGCTTTCCGACCGTCTCCTCGAACTTACTGGCACAATCGAGGCGGGTGCGAACAAGCAGGTTCTGGACAAGCTGGATGTTGAACGAGAGCGTGGTATCACCGTCAAGGCACAGACATGCAGCATGCTCTACAATCACCAGGGCGAAGACTACCTGCTGCATCTCGTCGATACCCCTGGTCATGTCGATTTCCGTGCTGAAGTGTCGCGGAGTTACGCGAGTTGTGGAGGGGCCTTACTGCTCGTTGACGCTAGCCAGGGGATCCAAGCGCAGACGGTAGCCAACTTCTACCTTGCCTTTGCCGAGGGTCTCAAGCTGGTGCCGGTCATAAATAAAGTCGATTTACCCTCCGCAGACCCTGAACGCGCTCTAGACCAGATGAAAAACACATTCGAGTTGGACCCCAAGTCCGCTGTGCTAGTATCTGCAAAAACCGGGCTAAATGTGGAACAACTTTTACCAACGGTCATCGAGCAGGTTCCTGCGTACGTTCTATTTTTCTTTTTTCTTTTTCTTTTTCTTTTTATTTTTTGGGATCCAAACCCTAGTTAAGAAGCTGTTCCCTGGTGCTAACACGCACACATTATTTAGGCCTGTTGGAGATCATACAAAACCTCTCCGAATGCTTCTTGTCGACTCATGGTACTCGACCTACAAAGGTGTCATTCTCCTCGTTCGAATATTTGACGGTGAGGTTAGAGCAGGCGATCAGGTTGTATCATTTGCGACTGGGTTGAAATACTTTGTGGGGGAAGTCGGCATTATGTATCCGGGACAAACCGCCCAGTCTGTTCTCCGGGCCGGGCAAGTTGGTTATATTTACTTCAATCCGGCTATGAAGCGCAGCCAGGAAGCCAAAGTAGGCGACACGTATACAAAGGTTGGCTCAGAGAAACTGGTCCAGCCGCTCCCTGGATTCGAGGAACCTAAGGCCATGGTGTTTGTCGCAGCATACCCCGTGGATGCCAGCGACTTCCCTCACCTTGAAGACAGCATTAACCAGCTCACATTGAATGACCGTAGCGTCACATTGCAAAAGGAGTCGTCCGAGGCGTTAGGCGCTGGGTTTCGACTCGGTTTTCTTGGAACCCTCCATTGTTCCGTTTTTGAGGATCGTCTACGACAGGAACATGGCGCGAGCATTATTATCACACCACCAACCGTGCCATTTAAAGTTATATGGAAAGACGGGAAGGAAGAAATCGTCACAAATCCCGCTCTCTTCCCCGAAGAAGAAACGCTGCGCGCAAAAGTAGCTGAACTGCAGGAGCCATTCGTCCTAGCTACACTGACGTTCCCTGAAGAGTACCTAGGAAGAGTCATAGAACTTTGCGAATCCAACAGAGGCGAGCAGAAGAACCTTGAGTTCTTCACGTCAACCCAGGTGATTCTCAAATACGAATTGCCCCTGGCCCAGCTAGTTGATGACTTCTTCGGCAAACTCAAAGGATCCACAAAGGGCTATGCCAGCTTGGACTACGAAGAATCCGGTTGGCGACGTAGCAATATCTCCAAACTCCAACTTCTCGTAAACAAGGTCCCTGTCGATGCGGTGTCGCGCGTTGTGCATGCGAGTCAGGTGCAGCGGCTAGGACGTTTGTGGGTGAGCAAGTTCAAGGAGCATGTTGACCGACAAATGTTTGAAATAGTGATACAAGCCGCCGTGGGCCGGAATGTTGTGGCGAGAGAATCGATCAAGCCGTTCAGAAAAGACGTGCTGCAGAAGCTGCATGCTTCTGATATTACACGACGAAAGAAGCTGCTGGAGAAACAGAAAGAAGGGCGGAAGAGACTCAAGGCTGTTGGGAATGTGGTGATTGAACATAAGGCTTTCCAGGCCTTTTTGGCGAAATAATTCAATCTGTTTTTTATTTTTATTTTTTTTTTCCCGCCCCATGTAGAATATATATCAGCTATACCACTGCTGTTTTTTGGGTCATCTTTTGCTGTACATTTTTTGCATCTGATATAGCTAGAGCATATTTGGGCGTTGACACACCGTTTTTGTTTTGTCTTTTATATATCCCCGATAAGATCAACTCGATTTCAACAGGAAAATAAAATAATTATCAAATTCAATTCCTACTCAAACCATTCAAGACGTTGTGAGTCGCGCTGTCCACAAAGTCGTCGCGGGCGGGCCAGGAAAAAGTTTTCGTCGCCAACCCCGCCATCGCCGAAAAAAAAAAAAAAGACGTCAAGAAAGTCCAACGATGACTGACTCCAACTCCCAACGCAACTCAAACTCCTCACTGAAATCTAGATGCGCCACCCTCCCATCCTGCAAACTCAACTATTATTTGATCCATAAATCTATTCCTACCCGAGCTTCAGCTTATACCATTAGCTTCAACTTGCGGCATAGCTTCGCACCGCCAAACACAGGCTGAGAATGATTGCTTCGTGATACCGGTGTCATGCAGTCTGCAGAGGCTGTACAAATCGACCTGGGAAAAGCCCAGGTTGTGGATCGCGTGCCAAAGGTCATCAAGGAGATAAAATTCGGCGTCCTGTGAGTGAACCCCCGGCGAAAGAAAAGAAAGAAAAAATTGGAAAACTTAGTTGCGACACGGAGTAAGAACCAGTGAGGAAGAGTTTGACTAACCACAACACCGCCCTGCTATTGCAGCTCGACCCAAGATATCGTCAGTCAAGCCGTCGTTGAGGTTTCGGATAGGAAGCTCTTCGATCTCGAAAATGACCGCGCCGTCGCCCCCCACGGCCCTCTCGACGGGCGCATGGGAATATCTAGTAAGTCGGGTACCTGCGACACATGCGGCGGAGCATTACAAGTCTGCAGCGGGCATTTCGGTCATGTAAGGCTGGTTCTACCGGCTTTCCATGTGGGTTATTTTAAACGGGTTATCAGTATTCTTCAGGAGATTTGCAAGGTTGGTGGTTCTTCCTCCGAGTTCTCTTACTTCCTTAATATATATATGTATCTGTGAAGGCTGTTTATTTGACTGACACAAGGTTCCTTCTCTCCCCGCACAACAGGAATGCTCCCATATCCTCCTTCCCGAAAATGAGCGGCGGGCGTTTCTTAGAGAATTAAGACGGCCTGGTATAGATAACCTCAGGCGTATGCAGATTGCGAAAAAGATCAACGAGCGATGTCGAAAGACGCGCACCTGCTACAGATGCAACGCAGTCAACGGCGTAGTGAAGAAAGCTGGAACAAGCGCACTGAAAATCACGCACGAGAAGTTCCGTGCCTTCAACGCATCGTCGTCCGTGAAGAAGATTCCCCCGCCTAGCAAAGTCGTCTTCGATCAGTCGTTCGAGGAAGCAAAGAAGAGCAATCCGGATATCGAGAAACATTTCAAAAAGGCACATGACGATCTACACCCACTGCGCGTGCTGAAGCTGTTTCGCAGCGTTTCGGACAAAGACTGCGAGCTTCTTGGTCTGAATCCCGAGGAGGCTCGACCAGAAGTGTTTCTTTGGCAGTATATTCCCGCTCCACCAGTGTGTATCCGACCGTCGGTTGGGCAGGAAGCTGCCAGTACCGAAGATGACTTGACAGCAAAACTTGGGGATATCATCCAGAGTAATATCAATCTCAAAAACGCACTCTACAAAGGCGCACCGGTACAAACCATTATCGAATGCTGGGATTATATGCAGCTGCAGCTTGCGGTGTATATCAATAGTGATGTGCCGGGGTTGCAGAAGGCTGATTTCGGAAAACCCATTCGGGGCTTCTGCCAACGACTCAAGGGAAAACAAGGGCGATTCCGAGGAAACCTTTCAGGGAAACGAGTGGACTTCTCCGCCAGAACCGTCATTTCTCCCGATCCGAATCTTCGAGTTGATGAGGTTGCTGTGCCTCAACTGATTGCCATGAACATGACATATCCTGAGCAGGTAACAAGATACAACAAGGAAAAGCTGCGACAGCGAATTCGAAACGGCACAAAGACTTGGCCAGGAGCAAATTATGTTTTCAAGAAGAGCCAGAATTTTAAGATGAACTTGAAATTTGGTAACCCTAACCTGGTTGCCAATGACTTGGAAGAAGGGGATATTGTCGAGAGACATATTGAAGATGGAGATATTGTTCTGTTCAACCGACAACCGTCCCTCCACAAACTCAGTATCCTCTCTCATTTTGCTAAAGTTAGACCGCACAGAACCTTCCGCCTTAACGAGTGTGTCTGTAACCCCTACAACGCCGATTTTGACGGCGATGAAATGAATCTACATGTCCCTCAGACCGAAGAAGCGCGAGCTGAAGCGATGGAATTGATGGGAGTTAAAAATAACCTGGCAACGCCAAAAAACGGCGAACCTATCATTTCCGCTATTCAGGATTTCATTACTGCTGCTTACATGCTGAGCAGTAAGGATGTTTTCTACGATCGCAAAGCTTTCACACACATCTGCCTTTACATGCTACAATCTGATACCCGATTTGACCTTCCTCCTCCCTCGGTAATAAAGCCTCAAATGTTGTGGACAGGGAAACAAATCTTCAACGTGTTGATGCGGCCCAACAAACAATCCCCAGTATTAGTTAACCTAGATGCAGCATGTCGAGGATTCAAAGCACCGAAAGGAACTCCTCGTGACTTGGACGCCAACGATGGATGGCTCTGCATTCGCAATTCCGAGGTCATGTGCGGTGTCATGGATAAATCTACCATCGGATCCGGCAAGAAGGATTCAGTATTTTATGTTATGCTTCGAGATTTCGGTCCTGAAGTCGCAGCTGAGGGCATGAACCGGCTCTCAAGGCTTTCCGCCAGATGGTTCACCAACATGGGTTTCTCAATCGGTATCACAGATGTATATCCTGGCGACAAACTACTAGAAGAGAAATCCCATATTGTAGAAGACGCCTACGCACAGTGTGACGAAGTTATTCAATTATTTAGAACCGGGAAACTCGAGAAGGCTCCTGGATGTGACGAGCAGATGACAATGGAAAACACGATATCCGGTATACTCAGTAAAGTTCGACAGCAAGCTGGAGCGATATGTATCGCAGAACTGAGCCGATGGAATTCTCCTTTGATAATGGCCACTTCCGGGTCCAAGGGTTCGGATATTAACGTCGCTCAGATGGTCGCCCTCGTCGGCCAACAAATTATTGGAGGCCAACGGGTTCAGGATGGCTTTCAGGATCGAACATTACCTCACTTCCCCAAACATGCCCGCCAACCTCCTGCGAAAGGTTTCGTGCGGAATAGTTTTTTTTCGGGGTTGACGCCGACAGAGTTTCTTTTTCATGCCATTTCTGGAAGAGAAGGTCTTGTCGATACAGCTGTTAAGACTGCAGAAACTGGCTATATGTCCCGTCGATTGATGAAATCGCTTGAGGATCTGTCGTCGCGGTACGATGATACTGTAAGGAACTCGTCTTCAAATATTGTACAGTTCCAGTACGGCGATGATAAATTGGACCCGGTCGATATGGAGGGCCGAGCTAGACCTGTCCATTTCGATCGTACATTTACTCACTGTGAAGTGACCACTTTTGACAATTCTGACAAGGGCCTTCTTCCAGATGAGATAATCACCTTGTGCCAAAACTTGCTCGCTCCGGCGCGCGCTAAGCTTACAAGATTTGACCTGTTGGGCAAGAATTTAGATTACAACGACCGAAGTGATCACGGCATCGATCAACTGGAAAGCGCCAGAGATTTTCTTCAGTCCATTGAGGATTATGTACGTGCGAAAGCTGAAAGATTGAGGGCCATCGACGGTGGAACTAAGCGACGGGGAAGGGGTATAGATCATACCGCCAAGGTGTCAACCAACGCTCTCACCTCATTCATCACCGCCTGCTTAACCAAGTACAAGAGAGCCCAAGTTGAGCCTGGCCATGCAGTTGGTGCTGTCGGTGCACAATCAATTGGAGAACCGGGCACGCAGATGACATTGAAAACTTTCCATTTCGCTGGTGTTGCGGGTATGAGCATCACTCAGGGTGTACCGCGTATCAAGGAAATTATCAATGCCTCCAAGGAGATCAGTACACCAGTTATCACTTGTGAGCTGGTCAATAAACATGATCTTCGTGCGGCACAGATTGTTAAAGGCCGAGTTGAAAAGACCTTTATCCGCGATATCATTTATTACATCGAAGAAGACTGGACCGGCAACGAAGCGTACATCAATATCAAAATCGACTTCTCCACCATTCAAAACCTTCAGCTCGAACTAAACCTCCAAGATATCCTTGTGGCCATAAAGAAACACAAGCGATTCAAATCCGCAGATTTGAAGTTCCGCTCCTTTGGCTCACATATCCACATCTTCGTCGACCAACACGCTACCCGAACGGCTCTCTCCAAGACTGAAGAAGCCGCTACTGGTGCCGACCCATACATCCGCCTCAAACACCTCAAGCGCCTCATCCCCAACATCCAGGTTATTGGCCATCCCCAATGTGCCCGAGCCATTATACGCACAGACGAAACAAACACCACCAACACCTTGCTTGTTGAAGGCTACGGCCTGCGCGACTGCATGACCACCGACGGCATCAACGGCCACCACACACGCACAAATAATATCATGGAAGCCCGCACTGTGCTCGGCATTGAAGCTGCGCGGACCACCATCGTCGATGAAATTAGCGAGGTCATGAAAGACATGAGCATCGACCCACGGCACATGCAGTTACTCGCCGACGTCATGACATACAAGGGGGAGGTGTTGGGGATTACACGCTTTGGCCTCGCCAAGATGCGCGATTCCGTGCTACAGCTGGCTAGTTTCGAGAAGACGGCTGATCATCTATTCGATGCGGGTGGGGCGGGGAGGACGGATCTTATCGAGGGTGTTTCAGAGTGTATCATTGTGGGAAAAAGTGTGTCGCTAGGCACAGGGGCGATGGAAGTGGTACGTGCGCTAAACTTTTATGAGGGTCAGATTGGGCGGAGGAAGACGGCCTTTGAAGACGCGTGGGTGGATATCTGTGAACGTGGGGGGCGTGCAGCTAGGGCGGCGGACAGAGGAGCAGGGCCGAGGGCTGCGAAGAAACAGAGGAGGGAGGGCGTATAAGGAGCATAATGTAATTTAAAAACGTTTTTATTGTCCCTCTATTAGTTCGTGTTTCATATAGACGCACCCCCTCCTCTCCCCCGGGACATTCAGCGCTCTGATGCTATGTATTTATGATCTGATTTATGTTATGCATGTACGTATATATTGATTGACGCTTGGATGACATAGACTACAATAAAGGGGATTAGGAAAATTGAGAGCATCAGGAAGCGTTGTCCGTTGAATATCTATCTATTCACATGACTTTCTTGAAAGGCTCGATCGAGTGTCTAGCAGTACAAACATCAACATCCAGACATCATGCACGAAATCCTAGGTATTCTATTTGTCGGAGCACGGCTCAAGCCAAAAAAAGAAAAAAAAAAGAAAAAAAAGAAAAAAAAAAGTAGAGAGAAAGAAAGAAAAACAACTCCAACGCATTCCAATGTCTCCAGGCCAATGCATGATTCGACCTGAAAAACTTCTCCGGCGCAGGCAAAAAGACCGTATCCAATTCAATCTATCCATTAACCCGAAGTGAGATATCGTCCTCCACTAGATTCCCGAAACAAATTCATGCCAAGTTATCTCATGTCGAAGGCGGTTCTGGTGGCAGGAGAGGTTTGGGGGTCCGACGCCGCCTGGGTCGTGGGGGGTATCGTTCCTGTCGCTCTGCTTGTCTGTTCAGTAGGCTATCGACCCTTTGCCGGATACTCTCAATCCTTTTGTCCAAATCTATTGATTTTACCTCGTGTCAGCTATTTTGCATCTTGCTCAATCCCAGGTCATACAGGGAAGAGGGGGTAATTCAAATTCCGCGAGCGAGTCGGGTAGGGAACGAATATCTTACCATGTGCGTTAGGGTGTTCCTCATTCTCGTGTAGGGTGACGTTAGATAGCTTATTTGAAAGGAGATTCCATTCTCTTTGGACGTCTGCATGTGTTTCTGTCGGAGTAGGCATGGACGGCTGAGTATCCGGCTCTGGGGTTTTTTCAGCAAAATCAATAGGTGCCCCGCGAGACTGTGATGTGGTATCGGTATATTCCTCTATCAAGTTCGAAAGGGGTGAATATCTATCCACGTCTGCCGTCTCTCGCTTCGGCAAGACGCTATGATATTCTCCCATCCCATCTCTTGACCCGCGTTCGAGATCTTCAGAGGACGGATTATCGTCATTCCCCTCTTGCGAACCTCGCTGATTGTTATCCTCACGAATATATTTAGGCATGGCGAAGAGAGCAAGTTGTTCAAGATGACGTGCGAGGTGACGTTCGAGATGATGAAGACTGAGGACTTGCTCTCTACATAAAGGACAGTCAACAGCAGATAAGGTGTCCACGGGTCCGGAACTTTGCAGGAGAGCTGCGCGGGAATCTCCCTGTGGCAATCGTGCAGCTCGATGGGCAGTTTTCTCGTGGTTGAACCAGGTGCGTCGCCTGCTGTACACCTGGTTAGGCGTTGAGCAATCGCGGAATGTGCAGACGTACGGCTGCAGGTCATCAAAAACGTGTCGTGCCCAGGATAAAGGCCCACGAACGGATATCAGATAATAGCAATAGGGACATTCAAAGCCTTCAGGATTGCTCTCGGCTTCTTCAGGGAGCGGGGGGAGGTGCAGTTTAGTATCATCACCGACTGTTGATGCGTAGGAAGTTTCCGACAGGGCGGGACCGATGTCTGCGTCTCCCACTGCCGCCGCGCCATAGATGAAGGTTGTAGCCGTAGTTTCTGACAGTAAGGTCCTTCGTGCAGCTTCTGTGTTGGAGTTGTCTTCAACCAACGCTGTGGCGGTCGGCTCATCCCCCAGAGCAAACTTTTCATGGTGTCGTTCACGGCCTTTCAAATATTCCCGTCGTTTCGTGATGGCTTTACCCAGTCGCTGGGTGAGCCAGCGTTCTGCATGAGGAAATTTCTGCTCAACGTGCCGAATGTCAAACAGCGTGAAGTGGGAGAGATCAACGTTGGTCTTTAACCGGTCATGTTGGGCTGGCTGGCGAATGACCATAGACAATTTGTAGAGGCACTTGATAACAACTGTAATGTCCTCTAGCAGCTGGAATAATTCTGCTGGCTGAGGGAGTTCCTCCTCGTGCGGAATAGATCCATCGTCTGAATCGTCACTGTCTGAGCATTCTTCAATGTCTTCGTCTTCAGGCAGTCTTTCTCCAGATACAATGGCGAGCACTATAGTGGAGATGTTTTAGCATCAGCTGTGTTCTCATTGAGACAAAGAGATATTAAGAGAGAGGCAAAAACAAGGCCAGAACAAAAGGTTCGAAAAGTAAAATGAGGTTTTGAAATGACAAATTGTTTCCGTTTATAGAGAAGAATAGCTATATCTCGAATATTTCTAAAGTTTCAAGTTCGTTGAAATTCTCACGGAACAAAGACCAAAACAATAAAATAAAAATAAAAAAAAATAAAAAAAAATAAAAAAAACAGAATACGACGACCAAACGACCAAAATAAAAAAACAACCAGCCCTCACCTTCGCTCAAGGACCATTTTAAGGCGTCCAGGAGAGAGGCAACCTGCGCTCTAATATGGGATGCATCCCGGAGGCGATATTCCAGCGACGACCGTCCGCTCTGATGTGCGCCTATATTACCGGTCCAAACTCGCAGACGGCCATATTCATCCTGCAGTTGTGGCAGAAACCTCTCCAGTGAAGGGACATATTGCTCCAAGGAAGTCGGGATGTCTATTGATTCATCGTCGCCGCCATAGTGGAGTGTGAGCGGACTATGCCACGCCGCGATGATTTTGTCGCATCTGGAGCAGGCCTCCCCAAACAGATACAGACAGGCAACGAGTCTGTTGGACAGAGGCGAGGGCATACTATTATCGCTTTCAACATCACCGTCCTCATGCCACAATACTTTGAAACAGTGCCAGTGAGCTTGTGGATAGCCGGCTACCTAATAAATCGGCGACCAGTGCGTCTCGCTGTTGAATTTAAACAACAGCTGTAGCCCGATACCCAACACAGCCGACTGCAGGCTAGCTAATTCAGACGCATAGAGACCCAATCGTGGCTGGTATGCGGAAAGACGGCGTTGATTTGGGCGAACAGGCTGGGCGCTTAATGCAACCTTCTCAGTCGTCGTCTGAATCTCTTGAACATATCCTCTTCCTCAATTCCTCCTCGCAAGGTTGATCCCAAAGGGACTCCGCCACATTTTGTTAAAAAAAAAAAAAAGGTCTTTTCCAGGCGCGTCCTACTATTAACTCGCAGCGAGGCAACTAGATAGCGCGCAGAGCCTCAAAAAAATGAGCGGTTTCGAGATTGCCGGCGTTGTTCTCGGGGCTTTTCCACTCATCATCCACCTTGCTGACGGGTACATGCACGGCGTACACACAATTCAAGGCTGGACCAGACATCGGAGTCAGTTGATGCACTTAAAACAGCTCCTGGAGACCGAGCAGACTCGGTTCCTCAACACATGCGACAGTCTGTTTCGTGCCTGCACACATGCCTCAACGTCCGAGATAGAAGCACTGCTTGCCGGTGTCGACCCTACGGGTGTAGAATGGCTGAAATATCAGGAATCACTACGGGACTTGCTTGGCCGCTCGTACGAGCCCTATATTGCGACTATATCGGATATGAAAGATGCGCTAGAGGAGATGAAGAGGATTCTCAATCAATTTCAGGTGGGAAATTCGTTGCTTTTTGTCTTTGGCCGCCGCGAGCGTCGGTGCTAGCGAATTTTAAAAGAGGTTGGCAGTTCTCAGCGTCCATTCAACTCAGATATCGTTTTTGCCGTTGTTCAGCATGAGATCTCGCAATCACACACACACACACACACACACATCGAAAACAGATTCACTAATAGCCCGAAAGGAGACTCCCAGGACAAAATCTAGACGCGCTCGCCGACTCGCCTTCACGCTTTCAAGGCACGGACGTGAAGAGCTGCTGGACCGCATTAGCAAGAACAATAACATGCTGGCGGCTTTGTTTGAGCAACGACAACGATTAGAAGTTAACAGGAGACGATCCACATCTTCGGGTTACGGGCGAATACGGCAACATTGTATCAATATATATCATGCCCTCAACCAAGCCTGGGGGTGTTGCTGCAATCCTGGCCATATTGCAAATTTACATTTGTCAACGCTAACGGTCAACGAAATGGCATTTCCGGCTGATATAAGACTGCAAATAGTATTCCAGGCAATGGCAGACCAAAATACTGTCACAGCAAGGTGGCAGTGGCAACAGGCATATATACAGCAGGTCAAAATGCCGGAATCAAAGCCATCCGAGCGGCCTGTCTCAACATCATATATATCTTCCGCGAAACTTAGTAAGAAATTGTAGGTGACAATCACCTTCAGGCTCTATAGGATAATTTTATTTCTGATGCTCTCCGACCTTTTAGGCCTTGGCTGAAGCCAAAGAAAAAAGTAACATTTGCATTACCCGCGAAAGAGAAAGAATCGCTGTCACCATCGACCCCGTCCTCATCGTCATCATTACTCTCGACAGCAACGACTTTAGCTCTGCCGGCCCCTACCAGCAAGCCGCCTCCACCACCCTTAACCCCCACCAACGCTCCATCGGGGCTTACAATGATATCAAATCTTTGCGCCACGCTCTCCAGCTTGACTTTGGAAAAGTCTCCCAGCCCCACCCAGGGGTCCTGCATTGGGTATCTCCAGGGACATTGCGGGCTGCCGCATGAACTCCACTTAGAACCACCCGATACTGACTGGGAAGTGATCTCGCTTCATGATGCGATTCAGGTATATCTCTCGAACACGCCCAGTTCGCAGGGGGAAAAGCCAGGCAGCCAAGTGTCGTCACCACTTCGGCGAATCAAACCTTTAACGCGCAAGGAACGATTTAAATTAGCCGTTGCCGTTTCGACAAGCGTTCTTCAATTTGATGACACGCCCTGGCTCAAACAACCCTGGGGCACCAACGACATCCATTTCTTCGTCAAGCCTTTCTCCTCAATGCCAGAACAGGCCTATTTATCAACAGCCTTCTCACAAACCAGCCAAATACCCACGAATCAGCAGAACCGTACACAGTATCCACCTTTGATCCGCAATAAAGCCCTCTTCACTCTCGGCATCGTGCTTATCGAACTCGCCTTTGGAAAGTCTTTGAAAGATTTGAGAACAGACAAGGACGTCGAGGAGAGCCTTGGGATGCCAGATCTCGTCGATACGTTTACCATTAAACGCTTGTTGGAAGCTGTAGAAGATGAAGCTGGATACGACTACAGCGAAGCCGTCCGCCGCTGTATTGAATGCCCCTTTGACGGTAAAGAAGCAAGATTTACAAACGAGTCGTTTCAGGAGGCAGTGCACAACTGGATCATAGAGCCGCTGAAAGTAAGCTTAAATAACTTCTGCGGGTCAGCGAACGCGGCCAGTTTGTAAGCCATCTCAGCTTTGGCACATTTCATGGGCACTGGGAGGTTCCACAAGCAACGCCATATGTTAGGAATCAAATAAGAGGTGTGTTGTTTGGTAGTTAACTTTGGTTTATCTAGAGACATACACACCGCTGAGGATATGGGCAAAAGTAAATCTTGAATAAAATACCTACTACGTGGAGATATCCTCCTTTAACCAGTACCTACAGTGGAATCAGTTTCAATACAAAAGAAAAGAATTAGGGTTAGGGCTATTCCGTGCCCTAACCCCAGCCAACCGCGGCATCCCGTGGTCCCGTGATCCGGCAAGAAGATGCCTCGGCTCATCAGTTAGTTAGTTAACCATCAATTAATTGTATACAAGCTTCAGCTCGGCGCCGAGCTGTGAAGAAAGAAGTACAGTAATAAATGTGAATTGAATCGATCGATTGCTTCACAGGAAAAGGAAGCAGGATAAGATAGCGACCTGAAGCCCATATGTAGATCCAAAAGAAATCCAACCCCCTGCTGATAAATGTAACGGGTTCAAAAGGTCATCGCATGGCGGCCAGCAATTAACAACCACACCCAGCAGCAGCAGCTTATCCCTTATCCGAACTACGGCGGCAAGCATGTGTAAAAATAAGATGTACAGTAGTTAGCCAGGAGCTCCAAGCCTACGGCGTATCCATATTTATTATTGGCATCAGATCCAGATCTTTTCCCTTCTTGTTGTCTCACTCCTGTTAATAATATATACCACCAACCCGTTACGCTATATTACAATCCTCACATAGCCACTCGAATCAAACCAGGGAGAATCCAAGCCCGACTCTCACATAGCAGACCATAGCAAGGCCCCTTTGTAGAAGCGGAAATACACTCCTCTACACAACTCACCATGGCTGCTAGCTTACCCTCATACAAATACTTCAACGTCACCTTTCCGCAAGAATATGTTGCCCACGTCGAAACCAACCGGTCGAAGAAGTTGAACGCCTACTTCGAGCCGTACGCCTTGCCTCCCCTCCTCCCCTCCTCCCCTTCGTCAATCACACCCAACTAACCAAACCCACCACAGCATGTGGCTAGAACTGCGCACGATCTTCGACACCCTCTCCGTCTCCCCCTCCGTCCGCTCCATCATCTTCACCGGCGCCGGCCCTGCCTTCACCGCCGGCCTAGACGTAAAAGCTGCGGCCGAGGGCCTCCTCAGCGGCCCTGACAAAAGCACCACCGACCCAGCCCGCACCGCCGCCAAACTGCGCCGCCACGTGGCTGACTTCCAAGACTGCATCACCGCCATCGAGCGCTGCGAGAAGCCCGTCATCATCATCCTGCACGGTATCTCCTACGGGCTAGCCGTGGACCTGGCCTGCGCCGCGGACGTGCGCCTGTGCTCCGCGGACTCGAAGATCTGCGTGAAGGAGGTGGACATCGGGCTTGCGGCAGATATCGGGACGTTGTCGCGGCTGGGCAAGATCGTGGGTTCGTTCGGGTGGGTGAAGGAGGTGTGTATGACGGCGCGGATCTTTGGTGCGGACGAGGCGCGGCGGGTCGGCTTGGTGAATGAGGTGTTTGAGTCCAAGGAGGCAGCTGTTCAGGCTGGGCTGAAGATGGCGCATGTGATGGCCAGCAAGAGCCCCGTGGCCGTGCAGGGGACAAAGGAGTTATTGAATTGGTCGCGGGATCATAGTGTCCAGGATGGTTAGTATTTTTTCCCTTTTCCATTCTTAATCTGAGGGGCCGAGGAAGAAGGAGGGAGACTGGGTTTGAGGGGACTATCCTGACAAATCACTAACATACGTATGTTCAACCAGGCCTCCGATATACCGGCGTTTGGAACAGCGCCGCACTACAGACGAGTGATATTCAGCGTGCTCTCCTCTCCGGGCTGGAAAAGCGCGTCCCGACGTTTGAGAAACTGTAAGAGTTGAGGCCAGGCCAGGTTCACTCTCGGGAAATACCTACAAAGGCGTTTTATTTTTGTCTATATACGCGCACATATATATATATCTAGGTATATCCCAGCTGCATGCTGCATGGCCGGTATACATATGCACATGCATCCATCCTGTGCATACTAACCGAGAGAAGCCAGTCGCGGTATAGAGCAGTCTTATATTCCTCATGTATATAGAGGGCTTCGATTTGTCTATTTATTTCAACTAACGACGCATAGCTGGCTCCACGTAAATAAATATCCCGAGAAGAACAGTTCCAGAAATTTTTAAAAAATAAGAAAAAAGAAAAAAGGTTTCGAAGATAAATCATATGAATCAGAGACAGGTTCAAGCTATGTAGATACCCATAGAAAATAGTGAATAAAAGCATCATTAGGTCGGGATTGATAGCGTAGGGAAAAACAAGGAGGAAATAGGGAGAAAACTGGGGATAATCATTTCCATCATTTCGTAAGAAAATATTAAACGTTAAAATTCACCACCCACGTTCATATGCGCCGAGAGTATGCCAAAAAAAGAATAAAAAAATATATTTGACGTTTTAGAACATGAACCATCAGCCAGAAAAATGGGCAAAACCCAAACATGGTGAACTGAGTAAGAGCATGCGATATGAAAGGATAACGCAAAAGGGTAAGGAAAAAAAAAAAAAGAAAGAAAGAAAGAAAGAAAGAAAGAAGAAAAGAGAAAAAACCCAGGCATTCCATAAAACAGAGGACGACTTCAACCTTGCAAATAGCCTCTCCCCCTCCCGATTCCCACCGTCTGCTTCTACCCCCCCCTCGTCGCCCCCGCCAACTCCTCCAACGCAGCCCGCACACACCCCCTCTTCCCAACCCTATGATAATAAACCATCAATGACGGGAAGCGTGTCTCATCCAAATAACCAACCTCACGGATAATATCGCGCACGACAGGCCACAGCGCGCAGTCCTCGATGTCAAAGAACTGGCCGGCGAGATACGACTTGCCGCACAGCATGGCTTCGAACGCGTCCATCTGCTGCAGCACGCCGTGCGGGGTTTTCAGCTTCTGGAAGCGGCGCCAGGAGCGGAGGAGTTCGTCTGTTTCGCGGAGTTTGGAATGGAGGGATTGGTTCTGCTGTGTCTGTGTCTGTGTCTGTGTCTGTTCCTGTTCCTGTGTTTGTGTCTGTGTCTGTGTCTGTGTCTGTTGTGGCTGCTGTTGTTGATGCGGAGTGGAACTCGGGCTTTTGGACCGCAGTTGTGACTGGGGCTGCGACTGCGACTGTGATTTCAAAGGCAGTGGTCGTTCAGTATCGACGAGCCCTTTCTGCTTCGCGACGTGCAGAAGTATACAATCGTCGCCCGTGTAGCACGTAGCGCCGTCCACGTCCATGAACACCGGGCGCGACTCGAGGTTCTCACGCTTGTGCGGGATCGAGAGCGTACCCCGCAGCGCAGCAGGGAACTCATCGATAGTGGCAAGGTCATACCGCACGCCATTCTCCGCAAAGCAGATCTGGACACGGAGGTCGGCGACGTCGTCGCCGCTCAGCAGTAATTTGCCGGCAGAGGTAGTGACGAAGTTGACGACGTCGAAGCCCTGGCCGTAATGCGCCTCCCAGTCGAAGTCGGACTGTTGGTTCTCCTGGCCAAAGGCTCTGATCATCCGTTCTGTTTCAGGGGAGTCGCCGTGGATGACCTGGCCGGCTGCTTGTTTGGCCTTGGAGACGGCGCCCTGGCCCCAGATGGTGTCTGCTTCTGGGTTGATGAAAGTGCCGATATGGCGGAATGTGAGGGAGATACGCTCGCCGCCATACGCGAGTTCTTCGGGCGTCTTTTCCGAGTCTGGTCGTTTATCGGCGCGGATGGCGTGGAGCCAGCGCATGTTCGTTTCCTCGCCGAGAATGAACAGGGAGTTGTGGGGTAGTGGGACTTTTTGGGTTTGGCGTCTCGTTGTTGAGCCTTCTTTAGAAGGAGCTTCGTTGCCGCCTTCTGCTGCATCTGCATCTACCGCATCTTCGGCTTGCGCATTAGCCTTTGCGGCAGATGATTTAGTTCGTAAAGTCATCGTTCTCTGTGCACCGAGACTGACGTTGCAGATATATGAGCCTCGGACGATATCCAAGGTTTTATCAGAATGTTCGGATATTCTATCCTGACCATCTCGGTACAGTTGGATAAGAACATGGTTGAGGGGATGGCCAAGGTGTTTCTCAACGACATGGCGCACGTTATTCACGGTTTTGGAGAAAGGCAGGAGGGGCGGGGACTCGTCTGCTGGGTGGCGGTAGATAGGTATCGAATTGTCTGGCTGCACTGCGCCCTGGACGGCAACTAACCGTGGGACCTGGCCTGACATATGATACATCTTTTGCCAGTTGACCTCCTCGCGTAGCAGCTGGAAAGACTTGGGAGATATAGCTAGGTCGTAAATAATACGGGAGTCACCCTCCCCAATGGTATCATCAGGGCCACGGAGGTCTGGTTGATTGTGCTTGTTCTTCTTATACCGCTGGGTTCCATGGGTTGCAGCACTTTGCGACGCCTGGAGGTCGAGCGACTGTCTCTGTGGCTGTGGCCTGTCGGGTTGATTTGTGTCATCCCGCGAAGCTGTCCTTCGGGGTTTTCTCATCCGCGGACGATTAACTTTACTCTTATGGTCCCGAGTGGTAGGAGCGGCAGTGGAAATGTCAGCGGTACGTAGAGCCGGTCCAAGGAAATTATCCTCGAAATCGTCGCCCTCAGGCTCCCGCTCCCCTCGAACAAGACTAACATCACCCGATTGCGACTGGTCTTCGCCAGTGGTGTTTGGCGGGGATGGATGTTTAGGGGGGGATTTCACAGCGAGAACACCCATATCGTCCTCGATACCAACAGGAGTAGATGCAGTCGATTGCTCGGGCCACTCCGAGGTGGGCACGGCAGCTTCCTCCCAGTCCTGTTCTTCGGCCAGCTCCTTACTTGTAATGCCGTTTGCGCCCATCATATCCGCCATGCGTCTCATGGCGTCCTCGTGGCGCGCAAAGCTGCGGAACCCAAGACAGTCCTCTATTAGGGTAACGTCCAAGCCGTGCGAAACCGCATCCAATGCAGTAGCGTAGACAGAAACGTTCGACAACGAACCGCAGATGTAGAGCTCTCTAACAAACTGGGTGCGGAAGGAGAGCAGCAAACTTTCGGACTGAAAGGCTGAGTAGTCAGACTTCACGAGGATAGTGTCTCTGTCATGGTCGATGGCGGAGAGGATCGGCGCGGGGAATTGAGAGCCGACGCTCTTCGGCTGGCAGCAGCGCCGAGTCCCATCTTCATTGGGTAATAAAGGGCGGGATAAAAACGCCTCTGGATCGTCCGAGTAGTCAGAGAGCGGTTCCCGGCGCGATTCCCCACTGGCGTTCTGCTGTCGTCGCTTAGCGGAGGTGGGATGCCCGCTTCCACCCTCAGCGCCACCATTGGAGCTGGTACCCGTCCTGCCGGTATTGTTATCTGCGCCCGGGTGGCTACTATTGTTCTTGTCCTTGGTACTGCTATTGTTACTGCCGGGGGCAAGCGGTTTGTCGACGACGATCACCTCTCCGCCACTCTCGGGACGGAAGATAGGGCGACGCTCCTCGACTTGAGTCTGCACCCAGACCACATCGCCAGTCTCGCGGAAGCGCTGAGCCAGCCCAGCGATGGTATCGAGGAACTCGGGGACATTGCGCACAAATAGGGCCCCGTCAGGTTTGACGAAATCGTTCTGGAGGTCGAGGATCAACAGCGCCTTTCGGCTGGGGACATTGGGAAGACTTTGCGAGAGGAGGCTCGTCGGAAACATTGCAACAGGTTTGTTTGGTGTGGTAGTGGTAGTGGTGGCGGGCCGGGGGGAGAGGGGGGTGGAAGTTTTGATAGTCAAATACTATTCGGCTTGGTTGTATAACGTTCTGGATATGATATGAGAGTCCAAGGAGAGGAGGGAGGGAGGGGCAGGGCATCAGCTCGCAGTCATGGTCGGTAAGTAGTTTTATTAGTTAACCCTAAGGAGGGATTCGCTAACTATTAATATTATGTATTATTGTAGAATAGATAAGTAAATAAGTAAAAAGAAAATATCTGGGGGGGCGGCAGCGGGCGATATTTTTATATTTATATGCCTGGACTCACTCTGGTTGCCGGCGAGCGGAGCCAGCAGCTGCACGGCGACAAGAAAAGAAATGCGAGACTGCAGCGGGAGGGGAGAGAGATGAGATGGAGAAAATAAAATAAAATAATAAAAATTACAACCAAGGCCTGCGAGGTGAATAAATAAATAAATAATATATTTAAGTAGAAAAGGGCAGTATTTATCTCAACTTGCTGCGGCGACTTGTAGTAGTTATTTAATATAACTAGTGTAGTTACTCCGTAGTAAGTAACTTAGCCCTTCAATATCGACTTTTTTTTTTCTCCGGCGGCAAAGACACCGCACGCACAAACACGCTCTGTGTTTCTGCTCGGATTTGACCTGTTGGATTTTATTAATTATTGTATCCGTATTTTATGATTTTTATTTCTCATCCATCAATTTCCTTTTTCGTCAGCTCTGTTCGCGCGGTGGCTAATAATTTCTTATTAGCGTGTCCATTACCTTACCATTCCGGCGGGATTGGGATTGGGATTGGGATGGGGGATTTGGAGCAGCGGCATCTCAAAGAAATCACATCAACATCACTGGTTAAGACATAAAGGAGGAGGAATCTATCTGAGAATGCTTTGTTGGTTCTGCTGGGTTTCGATCTGCTCTTCCACTGACTGACTGACGTCGGCCACAGATCAAATAATCAGCAAGTAGGAGTAAAAGAAGAAGAAAATACTAGTCCAGGCGAACTCTAATCGAGCTTTCTGGGCTTTTGGCGAATGAGCTGGCGATGATGACAAGGCAGGCTTTGGCAGACAAAGAGGTTGGCTAAGTTAGTTAATAATAATAATAATAAGTAACTAAGAGTAATCATATAGTAATAAGTAGACAAAGGAAAAAAGAGAAATTCTAAGATTCCTGAAAAGTGGCTGGTTCTGAATCCTTAATAATCATAAGCTACATAATGTTAACCCTATTGATTACAAGTGGAAGGGTTATTTATCTATTCATATTATATAGTTATAACTAGAGGCTACAATACAGATTATAATTTCTAAAATAAAATCGCTCAATCGAATTATTTATATCCAGCCTGTTTCCCCTCAAAAACAGGCATCCTGCGGCAGTGGCGGCAGTGGCGGCAGCATCAAATCCACCAAGAAGAGCTTGTTCTGCAGAATATATTTATATCTGTTATTATTAGTATTATTAGTATTATTATTATTGTTATTGCTGTCTTTCTTCACCCTCAATTCCAGCAACCTGATTCTCCCTACAGAGTGCACTCCGAAGATATATACATATATATAATATATCCATGTTTGCGGACCGTGTGCAGACCTGTGTCTATTATTATTGCTCACATTTTGCTTTTCTCATCTCATCTTTTCTTTTCTTTTCTCACATGCAGGAATAGTCTCAGATTAAGTTTGCTGGATATCAAACACGTACAGTTGATTGGACATTGAGACTCGAGAGTCTCCTCCTCCCTCTACACTTACACTTGTCTGGCTTGGACTGGGAACAATAGCAATGTATTATTGAGCAAACATCCACAGTGTACATGTACAGTACAATAATAATAATTAATAAGAACATATTCATGTTGCCGGCAGACATGACAAGCCCATCCCAGAATTAGTCTGGACTCTGTACTCAGAGACATTATTATAAGTAGTTATAATACTAAGCACAAATGATGACTCATCAGCATGTGACAGCGCCGACATCGGGCCGTTTCGGTTCAGGCGGTGAGCCCAACAAGGCAATTGGCGGCGGCAGAATAGCCTTGCCAGCAGAATTCCCCGATTCGGAAGTTTTCGACTCAACCTCAGCTTCTGCTCTTTTTTTTCTTTTTCTTTTTCTTCATTTCTTCATTTCTTCACCGGTTGCGAACACATATAAATCATTCCACACCGTTCAATTGCCCTCGACTTCTCCCTCTCCGCTCCCAATTGCCTTCAATTGCTTCATTTCAATTGACTCCCTCCCTCCCAACAGACAGACAGACACACACACACACCACACACACACACAAAATGTCCTCCAGACCCGTTGCTAAGGCCCTCCGTGGCCCTGTTGCCCGGTCCCTGTCCACCGCCTCCAGCATCCCTCGTCGCTCCTTTGTCTCCGCCGCTGTCTCCGCCTCCGCCCGTCCTGCCGCTACTTCCGCTCTCAGAGCTCCTTTTGTCGCCGCTCCCTCTGCCCAGCAGACCCGTGGAGTCAAGACAGTTGACTTTGCTGGCACCAAGGAAACCGTCTACGGTGTGTTTCCCCATATCTCTGTCTGTATTCAACTGAACCGGGGGGGGGGGGGGGGGGGGGGGGGGGGGAAAATTCTAAAAACGTGAAACGGGGTGGATGAAAAAACATTAATTTGGTTAAAACCTAAGGGGAGGGGGGTCCACACAAAAAAGTTTTGTGGTCAAAAAAAAAAACTCCTCCGAAGTTGTTCCCTGCCATATTTCACTATAACTAAAATATATCCCTGGAGATGTTGTGGTGGATCATCGTTCTTTCACCATTCTCAGAGAATTATCAAAAAAAACCCCCCCGCCCCCTGTGGTTATTGCCCCAGAGAATAGCTATGTACTCTCACCCGGGGGAAAGGGGCTCAGTGGAGTGCGGGTCGATGAAGTGCGCTTTTTTTCCTTTATGTGGTTTTTTTTTTTTTTTTTTG